CGGTAATATTGGAACAATACTCTATTAAAATAATAATAAAAATTTACTATCGTCTATGCATGTGCGATACTGCTGCTGATTTGGCAAAAAAAAATCCCAGACAAGGAAATAGTTTAGAATAAATCTTATTTTAAGAATTTGTTTTTAAATAAGTATTATTTAAATAAAAAAGCCATCAAATTATGCCAACAAAATAATTTCATGAATAAACACCTTAATTAAGACACCACCTCTCTATTAAATATTCTCACTATATATACATATATATCCACTTGTAGGAACATTTTTATATAATAAATTTAATTCCATGCATACTCTTAAGTTCTCAAACAAGAAAGGATTGAACCTAGCTAAGATATTATTTCATGTACTTAATTTGTAAGTGCCTTTAATTGCTACATGAGCTAGTTATAATTAAGATAAGGTTATGATAGAACAAAAAAAATAAGGAAAGAAAACATAAAACTAATTATACTGTGTCCATTTGGTTAATTAGTTGATAAAGAAAAGGTGAGAGAAGAAGAGGGTAACCTGGTGAGGCATAGATGGAGAGAGAGTTTGAAAAACACGTTACTTGATCAGTTTCCTCGGCCTTGTGTTGTGTTGTGTTGTGTGGTTATATATACTAAGTTTTATGTGGTTCTTCCTTTCTTTGTTTTGTTTTTTTATTGGTGTGATAACTTAGTGTGAGTAGGATTGATCAAAGTCCCTCAAGTAGTTAATTAGTATAATGGCTATTTGTCCTTGTGGTGAAGATGACAACAACTACGTCGCCTAGTAAAATGCTAAGATGGAATCTTTCATGTAATATTCTCATCCTCCTTCCTATGTTCCAAAAATTAATGTTATGATGTGATTTAAAAACCTATGTTGGTAGAATTCTCTTCTTGGATATATATATAGTGGGGTGGCAATGTGTTTTATGATTTTGTTAATATTTTAAAGAATGATTTAAGTAATTAAAGGTGATTTTAATAAGAAAATAAAGTATTGTTATATGTTTAAACTTTTATAGAATAAATGCTTCTTGGTCAAGAATTTTTTTTTTTATTTATAATTACTTAAAACCATTGTTAAATTTTGATGTTAATAAAATCATAATTTTGATTGCTTCTCTTATTAATTTTTGGGCGAGCTTTATTAAAACTTACCTTAAGCTAACCATTGATTTTTGTTTTCTTTTACTCCAATTTAAAGGATGTGAGACGAAATAACTCTTAAATTTTTTCTTTAAAATAATTAAATAATAATTTTATTTCACTTTATATATCATTTTACTCCACCCATTTGAAACCTCCAAAAAACAGTGGGCAGTGTAATCCTTTTCCTATTGATTCCTTCCCAACTTCCCAAGGTTGTTAAGACTCTGCATTCCTTCACCAATGAAATATAATAATACAATTACAAAATATTAAAAATGCTGATATTTCCGAATCAACTATGAAAGTTCTTACAATTAAAAATAACTTTTTCAGGGTTCAAACTTAAGTTATAAAAAAAGAGTATACATTCCTTAATTGCTATGCCAACTTTCTTAAGTTGAAGTCGAGCAAAATGTAGTATTCTCTTGAGTGTAAGGTACATAATAATTCATATTATAGTATTTCTTAAAATTAAACCATATATTTTGATGACCATGCGACATAATTATACACTTTTTATGACATTATTTTAATAAATAAAGAGCAAATCAGAAACCTTCTTATTTATTAATGATCTGGGACCGACAGTCTCATTCTTAAATTTGGTCTGATGTATTCCCCCCGGAGATGAATTGGCCTCATCAGATATTGATGTCTTACTTTTGAATTTAATAATATGTTTTACCTTTGATAAAAGAAAAAACATAAATGGTTGAGTTCATAATGAATGTACAAAATTTTGAGGCTCTAATATTATAGTATACAGAAGAAAGTAAAAATATTAAAAGACCAGATAAGGACTGGGTCTGTATATAATAAATTAGACTAGCTTTTTAAGTTTGGTAATACTTCAACTTTTTTTAAAATTTATTTATAATATTATTCAGTTCCTTAGCCTAAGAGAAGGTGATTATAACTTCTTGTGCAGATAAAAGTTTGATTAGAGAAGGGTGTTCTTCAAAAAATAAAAATGTTCCAACTCTCAAGTTACTAAGAATTTAGCAAAGCAAATTAATGTACTTGAGCCTTAAGCCTTAATGTCTTCTTCCTTATATATACTTGAGTTGATTTTGAAAGTTCTACCTGATTGGGGGTTGAACATGTAGCCGTGGTCAAATGACCAGAATCGTCTTCACCAATGCAGACCTACTGTAGCTAAGAAACAGATATCATGAGCAATTTCGAATAAGCCCTAACTCAGATTATTATTTATTTTGAGATACTCAATCATTATATAATCTAATCGTACTTAATGATAATTTTATTATCATAAAATATTGTACGGGAGAATGACACACAATCAACTCAACGAACACATTGACAAGTGTGTAAAATGATAAAATCTTAAAACATTCTGTATATAAAGAAAGAAATTCTGATGATTCAGATATGCATTCTACCATATTCTATCGAGCAATTTTCTCTAAGTTAAGAGTTGGAATACTTCTTGCAGAAACACTTTCGTCAGAAACACCTTTCATTGGAACGAACTTAGTCAAATACTACTATCAACCATATATGAGAGAATTTATGTCCAAAGAATCATATTTCAGTTGTCCAGTACACATGAGTATCATTATGTTAACCTATGTTGATTTGCTAACGTTAATCACAATGAGTTATCTTTTGAACTCTTTTTCATTTGAGGGTTAGATTAGTAGATCTTTCTTTAATTGAGAGTTTAATGTACTATTTATATTGATTAATTGAAATAGAGATAGTCCTAATTATAATTCGATACCAATTTTTCGACCATGTTCAATACGGAAACACATTTATTGATCCCAGATCACATATTAAAATGAAAAAAGTTGTTTTACAAAATTTGTTGAAAAAAAGTGTTTTCTAATGTCACTATCTTACAGCCCCATCAATGTAAATAAATATTTATCTGAGAATTATTTTTTTCGAAGAATAACAAATTACTAGTTTCAAAATTAGTATACGTCATTAGCCTTAGTCAAGGTTTACTGTGATATTTACCATGGAACTACCAATAAATATCTATGACTTGAGCAAGAGTTTCACGCAAAACATGCATGGAGTCTTTGTTAAGGAAATCTTTTCCAGTTTTTCAAGAAGTTGGAAATGATAGTTTTTTATTTAGATACTAATATTTAAAATACCCAAAAAAAAATAATTTTATAATTAATTTTTTTAAGATGTTCTTATGAAAGGAATGAAAATTTAATAGTATGTTTGATTTCTGTTTTAAAATAGTTTTTTATTTTTAAAAATAAATTCTAATATAAATTTGTATTAAATTTTATTTTTAAAAACAGAGAACTGTTTTTAAAATAAAAATCAAACATATTTTAAGATTTTTGTAAAAGTAAAATTTTTTATACTATAAAAATACAATTATATTATAAAAAATATTTCTCAAACATTTATAAAATAGATCCCTCCATATGTTTAGAAAATGGACAAAATCTTAATAATTGAAAAATTGAAAACATAAAATAGAGAAGATGCGGAGGCAAATGTGAAGATTACATGGGTCTAAACGAAAACTTAACTCTTAAACTTAAACATTTGATTATTGTTGTGTATAAATTCCAAGGAAGACAGACACTGCCAAATTGCCAATAACAAAGATGAATGTCGTGAGTCGTTGAGAAGGTCGCAGATTCGCAGGCCATTGATGATATCAATTTTCTACCAATTCCTCGTTCTGCCATTCTGCTAACGCAACTTCAAATCAATTATATCTCTCCACGTGTCTCTCACACATGCATTTACTTATCTGTCACAATTCTATTTTGTCATAATATCAATTATATATAATAGCTTGCATTTTTTTAAGATAAAAAAAAAATTCATATTTATGTTTTATATACAAAAAAAAGATAGTTAAATGAATCTACTCAATTCATTGTCAAAATACAAAATAATTAGTAAATTCTGAAGGTTTTAGAAAATATGCTAATTATAATGTAAAAAAAGTACACTTTTAATATAATTTTTATGATTAGTCTAATTTTTTTATAAAATTAAATTACTTGTTTCATAAATTAATTACTTTTTCGAAATTATTGACTATTTAAAATATTAACCAATTATAAAAAAAATTGATATAAAATGCATTCAAAAGTGTATTATTGTCATGCTTATAATATAGTTGGTTCTAAAACTGTCCTTTTTGAAGAATTCTTTCTCCACTGTGAGTCTGTGACCACACGTATTTGAGATGATAAATTACTTTTGTAATAAACAACAGAGTATGAGCACTTGTCATATTCCACCTCCCATTTACATCGTACAGCCAATGACAAATTCTACAATTGCAATTATGGCTGCAATTTTCTTTTCATTTGACTAACAGGCCAAGACTATGCCTCACCATGTACAATACAATACATTAGTTTGGTATCAAAACCACATTAAAAAAACCATAAACTCATCAAATACAGCAAAACGTCACATAGGAAGACGAAAGCCACAACTTAAAAACATGGACCAACAGATCCACTATTGACACCTACAAGGCTAAAAAACATGATTTGGTGAGAAACCAATATTTTGTTTAGGGACAGAGGCATGGATTCAACTCATTTAAGTCAAACCAGTTAGAAAAATTTTCTTTTTATTCATTGGGTTTCTTATCTCCAATGACCCAAATAATATTAGTGATTTAAAATAATTGTTCAAAGAAAAGTAACTGGTCAGGATTCTACAACTTGGCTTTTGGATGTTCAACGCTGTTGAAAGGCTCAAGAATTTACCAAAAATGACTCCACTTCTACAAGAGCAAAAGAGGTCACTCTTTATTCAGCATGACGCAATAAGCAATAAGGGATCCATAAAAGTCACCAAAACACACAATTTTTCTATGGTCAAAGCTAGTTTTTTGCAATGTTTAAAGCCACATAGTTTGAATTTACAAATGGGTAAAATTGACTCCACCAATGTCTCACTAACTTACAAGACATGAAGAGTTCAAGTACCTATCTAAAAGGAATGAATGAAGGCCAAAGGTATCATCACGGTATCATGAGGGGATGAACCATCAAGTAGATCTTTCATCCCTACATACCATACCTTGTTATTCCTTGAGGATGATTACCTTGGGCTACATTGATAGCTTGAGTTCTCATCTTAGCTTCACTCCAGATCAAAGGTGCTGCCATAGAGTCCATGCCCAGCATCCTCCTTTTTCCGCCACCAGGAGACCCTTCTAAGGTCAATCCTCCAGAACTCTCATGTGAGGTTAAGCAACTTTCAGTTGAACAATCAGCCCTTTGGGGTGGAAGACTAGGTGGTATTTCTTCTTCTGCGACATTCACTCCAGCCACCTCAGTAGATGGCAAGGAGAAAAAACCAAGAGGATCAACCGTGGAACCTCTTGGTGCTTTACTTCCAATTCCTTGAAACTTTTGGCTGTCTGTGTCTATAACTGTAGCACCAATGAATTGATCAGCCAGCATCTTGCAAGCTCTTTCAAGCATGGCCATGTATCTCCTCTCTGCATCCTGGCGAATCTGCAAGTGCTTCTCTGCCTACATTGTGATTTTTTATATTTGGAAAATCAGGAGGCATTATTCACTAATCATTTCAAAGGAATCACTTAAAGTCACAAAACAAAAGTAACAAACACCATCTTGGTTCAATTACACCCTATATGAAAATGTGTTCTATTCTAAATTACCAAACAATGTGATATAAATTTCATAAGCCATATTGGATGTACAACTAGCACTAGGAAAAAAAAAATTACCTCCACTTGCAAATGTAGTTTGCTTTGCACTTCCATCTGTGCTCTTAATGCCTCCTTGATTTCATAACCCCTAGGCATAAAGTTAATCACTCCCTCAACTCGGTATTCAAAATCATCAAGACATCAACCAGAACATTTTTTTATAAATTAATGAAAATTCTTACTCATTTGTATCAGAAGTTGGCAACTTTGGAGAAGAGTTATCAGTGCCAGGGCTTTCTAAGAGATATGAACCTGTTATTCCTTCCATAAAAGAAGTCAGTTAATCCAAGACTGACAAAAAAGTTTAGGTGAAATTACAATTTACGAAATCCTGGCAAACTTTTTTTCCAAATCTAGGAACAATTATTTGCAGTATGTAAAAGGATCTACAATCAATGTTCAAATTCAGAGAGTACGTAATAGACCATAATTAACTTGGTTATCCAAATTTCCAAAGCTAGGCTAATTTGCTCCCCAATTCTAATTCTGCATGGACAGTTCCTTAGTAATCTGTATTGACAAAATAATCAAATTTGGTAATACATGATTATGGCATTGGTTTATACAAACATAGAGATTAGATTTTTAGGTGGATTCTCTGAGGAAAGGGAAAGTGAAAGGCACCACAGAACACATTGGACAAAGCAATTAAGATTATGGGATGACAATCATAATTGGAAAGTTCAGAGAGTGGAATGACAATCATACCATCTTTGCATCCCTCACCCATATCTTTTCCAGATTGCTTACCGAGCCTGTATTTCTGCAATGCAGAAAAAAGGGTTTCAATTTTGTCGCAAAGCTTAAAATTGGGCAGAGTATTATTAAAAGAATTAAAGAGACCTGAAGATGACTCTTTAAATGAAATAGAGTCAAACCCTTGACATTCATGGTCCGCATGATTGCTTTTGGTGTAGCTTCTGCAGATAACATCCAGAACCTAGTCAGAAAATGATATTGATGATAATCTACATGTGAAGATTTCAAGAAAACAAATGGAAAGTAGGATTTAATAACTACTTTGCAAACAAGTCAAGCTAGTATCATTTATAAACCTCAGCAGACACAGAAGACTAAATATATTGAGCCAAAATCATGGAAAAGTATCTTGCTTTGTTATAATTATAAGAGAGAGCAAGCGAGAGAGCAAGAGAGAGAGAGAGAACAGCAACATGTGCTACTTGAATCAAATGACACCATAATGTTTTATTGTGAAACATGTTTGTAAATGCCTGTAGTTTTTCTCTGTCTCTCAACCTCTAGTGATAGATCTATCCTCTCTTTACTAGGACTTTTACAGGTCTTCTCCATGCATCCCCAAACCATCAAAGGTGAGATCCTACCATTTTTTCTACAATAAAATCCTAACCCAACTTTCTCGCTAATGCATTCATTCCTAACCCCACAATAGTTACATGGGAAAACCTGAATTTGACACTACATAAACTCATTTTACTCCCAACATGACACGATTGACCCAATTTTGAATAGAACATCGTGGCTAACACAAACCCAAATTATCACCCCTAACTGTATATTTGTCTTCACTTTACAACTCAGTCGAACAATCTATTATATCTACAACCAAAATAAGAAACTTGTCATAATCTTATAGTAGCAAATAGAACTAAATAAGTATAAATACATCAAACATCACAAAATCTCTCAACCTATCTTCTCATTTCCATCAGGAAATTAATCATAGCCATCATATGTCTAGTCACTTTTTAATAACAAATTCCTATCAGGAAGCAAGGAAAAAATCAATGTCTTGGCTTTTGTTGTTTTGTTTTCTAAATGTAAGTCTACAAGAATGTTTACTTTAAATTTTCACCATTCTAGGATCACCTCTACGCTATAAAATGTGAATTGGGCTAATGTTTTTGACAACTTATTGAAAAATCATGTTGGGGGATGGTCTGCATGATTTTCGCCATATTGAGGAAACATGACCTCATTCTTTATCAATGACAGTTTCGCTAAAAAATCAAAGCACTTATTGGTGGTCAGTAACTTGGTGGAAGCATGTCACATAGTGGCCAACCACCAAAAATTCTCAAGTGTCATAGCACATCATGGACCCAGCCTCTACAATGAAGAAAGTGACTGCAATGAAACTGTATTTTTAAATCTTTCTAGGAACAAACTGTTGGTTTACTAAATAATAAAAAAGCGACTGCAATGAAATGAGCTTAGCAATAAAGACTAAATAGATTCAGCAGTAATCATTTCAAACAAAAAGATCTAGCAGTGATGCATTAATATTCAACAATAATATAGTTTAAAAAAGAACAAAAAGAAGGAGAGAAAGAAAACAGGCAGCACCATGCTACAGCAGCAGCTGACAACCCTGTAAGAAAATCTCTAGATTTAATACTATATAATTAATTTTAAGAAGTAATACTTAGTAATTTCCAAGAATATCTCTTCAATAATTTCTTAAGTGGGTATTATACTTTACAATAGCCAAACAGACCAAAAATTTTAAAATCAATTATTGTACTCTTAAAATCAGTCTCCAAAATCTAACCCAAATGCGAACTGCATTGCCCTTAACCTCTTACATTTAATGTATCTGTTAATGCCATATTTAAAGCATAAGAAGATAAGATCATCAGCTTTCAAACTACTCTTCTTTGCAACAGGAAGTTTGATAAGGTTGACAAATATTAACAGGCAAATGCATTCTCTTTCACTCATTCATGAAATATGTACATCACAGTTTATCTTTGTTCCAAGATCCAAACTCTTGCTAACTAATTCATCTTCTATAAAGGAAAATTAATTTGATTTTATTTTTACAATATGTTTCCATAATTTAAGTGCAAGGAGAAAATATATGACAACAAACCCCAAACCAAAGGAGAAAAATGTTATAATGTTTCATCCCATTAAAAATGCAGCAGCTTAAAAGTTTGGCGAAAAATTAAAGAAATAGACACGAAGTACAAGATCTAAACTCCGAAACAGCTTCAATGCTGGGTTTGGAACCAGACACATTCATCAATTTTCCAACTTTGATGCACTAATAGCATCTATACACCTGTCCAGCAAACAGTTCCTAACGATGCCTTTTGATGCCAAAGACTCAATGAAATTTAACTTCTTCATACTGTGCGAAAAAGCACATTAGCCAATCTTTATATCAAAGATTCAATAAAACATCTACACAAAGCTCCCATGTCAACGATGAGAAGATTCAGCACATCAACAACTAAGGGGCATCCAATGGTTGATAATCACATTCAAACAAAATGGTCTCAAGCAAAATCAGCCAATCATCAGTCAAAACAAACTAACATATGATCATCACTACTCTGCCAATGAAAGCATTCTCCACCAACATTTTTCAACAAATTCTACTTGTTGCAGTCCAAATGCACACTAATGAACACCAACTCCTCTAGATTAGCATAAACACATCCAATTATTACAACCAAGATATAAACTTGAACTGAATTATTGATACTCCACAACAACAAACAATTAAGTAAAATAAATAAATAAATCATTTTTCTTTGCTCCCCAAAGACAAAGCTGGATCCTTTCAATCAAACAAAAACCATGGCCAATTTTGTTCCAGATAAAAAATAAAATAAAAATTGCCCACATGCTGAAAAATGCAAATTGAAGTGAAATAAGAAAAAAGGATTAAACTTTGACAAAAACAAAAAAAACAAAAAAAAAAGAGCTGAAATAAACTCACTACTAGCACCCCCAAGTTGTGTGACGGCATCAACAAACCGTTCATGAAGGTCCTGAGTCCAACGAAGGCGAGGTTTAGGATCAGCCGTTAAAACAAGACATGGGTCTCCTTTGTGATTGTGAGAGAGGTTTGAAGCAGCAGTAGCAGCAGCAGAAGCACCTTGCATATCTTCCTGCACCACAATCCCATCATGGGGGTGTATCAATCTGGGATACATGCTCCTTCTTCTTCTTCTTATTCTGCTTCAATGGATAGAAAAAACCCAAATGACCCAGAAACAAAAGATGGAAGCTTTTTTGAATCAAAGAAGGAACAGATCGGAGTTAGAGTTAGTAGTTGGCATTTGGGTGAAAAAGATGAATGAATGAACAAATGAATGAAACTGAGAAAGAAAGAGAACGCCGTACGACTGAAACTGACTCTGACGCTGGCACGCCTTTCAGGGATCTTGTCCCTTTCTGCTCTTTTTCGTTAACAAAGGAGAAAAAAACACAACATATTTTTGAGGGTTAATGTTGTCTCTGTCACTCCCTTAGTTTCCTTGGATAACAATGACTTGTATCAATAATCCCCTATCTCTCTCTCTCTTCCTTTTTTTTTTTACGAAATACGTTAGGAGTAACAGTTTAGACTTTAGAATTCATTTTAAGCATTAAAAAAACATGTTTTTAAAGATATTTATCATATAAAAATTATAAAATAACTTTAATTTTTAATAATGAGTTTTTATCGATAAATTTTTTCATAACAATATAATGAAATATAATAAGTATTTTTTAATAAAATTTATTAATTTTATCTGTTTAAAATTGATTTCAATTCTTTTAGTTGTCTAGAAGATATGTATCTTATACCAAATTTATTACTCAAATTAATTTCTGCACCGATGGATTCAGGTATTTAATGGTAACTAAGTTTTATAAGTTTAAAATTAATTTTAAGATCTGAGGATAGAAATATAATAAAAGTATAATGACCATTTTCAATAAGATTGTATTATTTTAATATAATTTAAATTAACTTTAAACATTTTTAAGATATCTTATATTGACTTAGAATATGATTAAAAAACTATAAGAGATAAACAGTTATTATACTTGAGCCAACTTTAAAAAAGTTAAATTTTTTATTTTTTATTTTTTACCCTCTCAAAGACTCAAACAATAACAAAGGGTATAGCTCTGTGTCTATGTCTATTATTGCTGTGCCTCTCTTTCTATTTTGTGTCTACGTCACTCTGTCCTTTTCTTTGGCCTGCAAATGGAGACAGTGGATGTGGACTGTGTGAGGAAACTGCAAAATAAAGCATGCGGATTTATGTAATGCTCTCAAGAGTCCATGAATCAATTCACCACTTTTCTCTTCTTTTTGTTTCTTTGATGTCTCTCTTTTTAATCAAGGTTGCATGGTGAGATGATAAGCAAAAACAAAGAACATGTGCTCATCTTCTTTTTACTCAAGGTTTATTTTGCAAAAGCTTCTAAAATTTATGGTATTATGGTGTGCTTTTTCTTATGGTCAACTTGGTCTCATTATTGATTTTTTTTTATTTTGTTTTATAGCTTTTTCAACTAAAGGGTTTGTTTTGTGGGTTTGTTTGTCCACGTTTGTAATCTTCTCTTTGTATCCTTCTTGTTAGAACCATAAATGATGAAACAAGAAACATATTACTAGTATACTTATATAAATTATATGAAATGAAATGTGTATTTTTTTAATTTATTTTATGATATTCTTAATGTTTTATATTAGAATATGAAAAGGTTTAAAAAAAAATACCAAAAGAACTTTATTCCCTCAAATGAAGTAAACTAATTTAACAATATATTTAGACTCATTGTAACGTTGTAAGATATAGTTTCTACATTAAAATGTAATCTAACACGATTATGAAAATATTCAATATAAACACTAATTTAATTTAGTTCACCTTGAGATATTTATTAAAGACTTGTTAAAAAAAAACAGATACCCAAAAACTTTATTCCCTCAAATGAATTGAACTAATTTAATTAAAAATGTACTGTATAAATGCTTCTTAAACGTGTGTATTTAGAATAACATAAAAAAAGAAGAAGAGAGAAGTAATAAATATGATAAATGGTGCAATTAAAATTAAAGAAATATGAGTAGTATACTGTTAAATGTTTATAAATTAAAATTATTAATTAAATTTTAACATGATATCTAAACACACAAAAAGAATACTTCTTACTTTTGATTCTTGATAAATTTTATCAAATATTTTTTATGGTAATAGACTATTTTGTGATTTATAAAAAGTTTTGTATCTATTAAGTTTAAAAAGATAATTTTTTAATATTTTATTGTTATAAGAAGAAAAATCTATTCATATTAATGTAAGTTTAAAAATTCTTATATTCAATTTAAGTCTTTCATTTAACTTGTCTCTAATATATTATTTAAGTGAGTTAGATTTTTAAAATTCACTAGAATCATTGACATCAACAAAATCAAAGCTCATTTATATTAAGAATGGATTGTCATCACATCTTATGTAGGGGAGGGGTCAATTCCTCCCTTATTCTTCTCTCTATGAACTATTTCATGGGCACATTCCATGTTAGGATAACTTGTTAGTTTTTATATTATGTTTTTGGGGCTTTGGAACTTACATATAACAATAAAAAAAATGCTTCATTGTATTCTTCCTTTTTTTAAATTTTTTTTTTTTCAACAAACAAAACTAACATGTGGCAGTTCACATGAAAATGAAATAATTGAATTATAAATTTAGAAGATATTTGATGGCCAGGTCACTAATACCTATTAGGTTGCTTAGGTTAGTTGGATTTTGATAAAAAATCATAAAATGATAATATTTTTATGGAAAAATAATAATTTTTTAATTTAAACCAATTTATTAATATCTACAGTAAAAAAAAAGAGAAAATTTTGTATAGTCAAAAACTATAATTATCTTAATCAATCAATAAATAAGCAACATGTGTATATTTTTGAGACATGTCTAAATTTAAGTGTACAAGTAACGCACGTTAATTTCTCCGAGGTAGACTCAGCTAAACTCAAACATGAATGCAATCATTTCTGCAATTGTGAGCAAGTTGACTCAAAAAGTCATACAAGTGACTCCCCCGGGCCCATAATTGTGTAATCACTCCAGTTTTATAAACAAAGAGAAAAATTAAGTGTTGGGTTACTTAATCACATGTTCGGTGGTTGATTTAGTTAATATTATTGATTAATTAAAAACTATTATTTTAATAAAATATTTATATTTAAGATTAGAATAAATTATCAAGATAAAACTCTAAATTAAATTAATAAATAGTATTGACAGCACTTCAGAATTCACATAAGTTTTATTTTTATAAAAATAATAAACATAAAAAAAAAGTGTGATTATAAATTCTTAATCTTGATTAAAGTGGTAAGATAAATTAGTCCAAATGTAAAAATGTTAGACAAAATGCGAAATAACAAAATAAAATTTGAAGTTATTAACATTTTATCCGACAAATCATATATATTTTTTCTTGTTTTATTAAATTTATCTACCAAACTAATTTGTAAGATGTTTTGTTGAAAGAACTATGTTGCAGGTCTTTTTAAATGTGGCCATTATTGATCAAGCCAAGCTATGGTAGTTGGTTAAAGATGGTGCTGTTTTAAATTATTATATAAGGGATGAGTGTTATTATAAGGTAAGGATTGAATAGATAAATAAATAAAATAAAAATAACATTTCTATATTGAGATCATATGAAATATGTAGTATTCACTTTTTAAATTCTCTTAAAAATATTTGTTTTGTTTTGTGGGAAAAAGAAAATTTTACAACGCAAAGGATTATTCACTGAAACCATTTGTCATTTGGGTTAGTATATATTTGAATTCAAATTTATTAAAAATATATAAATTTAATTTTCAATTTAATAATTTCTGCTTATATATTTATAATTTTTAATAAATTTTAACTAATGAAGAAAAGAGTTAAGACCATATTCCGAACACTTTGTGAGTAAATAATTTAATCTTGTGCGCTACTTAAATATGTAAAATATAATAACAATATTATAAATAATGATAAAAAATACTTAAAAAGTAAGTAATTAAATTAATAGATGTACATATTGAACAATGTTTAACTATTAAAAAAAATAAAAGACTATTTTACTCCATTCTTAATATAAGGCCTAATTGAATGTGACTTCAAAACATATATCATGAGTTCTATAATACTCCAACCTTCTTGCCTAATGGTGGAAGCCTTGAAGGTAATGGAAAAAACAATTCAAATTTACAAAAATAATGTTTAAATTTAACTAAACCTAATCACAAAATTGAATTAGATTCAAAAGATCTTATTTTATTTCAGATTAAAAGTTTAAAATGTAAATGTTATATTAAGTAGATTCATCTAACTTTTATATTATCACACTCTCAGTCATATTAGGCATGTGATCGTTTTCAGTATTATTATTTTTCTGAAGTTACTCTTAACTTAAATGTTGAATAATAATAATAATACCCTTTAACTTTATTATTGAACAATTAATAAACTACTATTGAATTGTTTCAGTTTATGGAGTGGTTTTACGTTTGAATTTTAACTATATTATATAGCATCTTGGAAGGAAGAATTTTGAGTGTTGAATTGGATCTGATTGGGCTCTATGGATAATGGGTCCAATGCTCTCCATTCATCATTCTGCTGGGTAAGGAGGACACAACACTAATTTTAACATTAAAAAAAATGTTGAACTTGACCAAAAAAATAAAAAATAATATTTTGAACATGTGTACTGCACTTATTTTATTTTATTGGAACTGATTTTTGAAATCGAAATTCAAAACTGAAAAAAAATAAATCAGTTTTTTTTATAATAAAAACCAATTTAAACAAAAAGAAGATAATGTTGGGTTTTCAATCACCATGTTTCTATTGTTTTTTTGGTCCACAACCATTATGTTTCATTTCGAGCTGTTGTGGACCAAACAACTTGTGGTGCATGTATATGCGGTGGATGATACTGACATCTAATATTTAATATTAGACTCACTTCAGGGAAACGAATTTTATTATTTGAATCATTCAAAATTAATAACCTCAGTGACATCATAAATAATAATAATAATAATACATACATACAAAAGGGAGGTATCCTATTATGGTAGTTCAAAAAATATTTCCCTTAGGATAAGTGTTTGATGGGGATACTAGGCAGATTTTTTTATAGCCTTTGTTGGTAGTGTTTGTTTTTGGGTTGAATGTGAAGAAACAATGTTGTGTATTATGTATCTTTTCCAGTTCTATACGATTACAAGTCTAGCTAAAAAAATTGAAGAGTAAAAGTAGGGATGGCCAAGAACACAATAGCATCACAGGAATGCATTGGTCTATATAAAACAATAGTTGTAATTTCAAAGTCTATAACCATGCAAATGCTTAGCCCATCTTCTAGCCATATAAGGGTCATGAAAATCCCAGCTTTCAACACTGCTAGTCCTACCACCTGTGCTCATATCCCTCACTGTTTCCGCACTAGCTTCTGTAACATCACCTTTATGTTCTCCAACACCTACAACAGTTTCCCCTGTTCTTCTAACACACTCATCAATCTCACCTTCAATGTAGCTATATTCCACATACACATGAGTGCAATCACCAAGGTCTAACAGAATCCTCCTTTCTTCTCCTCCTCTTATCTCTCCAATTCTTATGACTCTCCCACTGCCAACTTCCTCACCAGCACCGCATATTCTAAGTTGGATTTCCCTAACAATGCCTCCCAACATCTTGGCCAAGAACTCCTCAAACTCTTGTATGACAAACCCACTTGAAGTGCCAAAGCCAAATCCCACATGAAATCTATGAATTGGTGTTGATGGTAGTTCCATGCTTATAGCATGGTATGGTCTTGTAGGATTATCTGATAAGTGTAGGATACAGGACTCAGGGTTCTTGTGCACGCGGTCCTCAAGTATCTTGATTCCTTTCTTCAACCCTTCAACTGGATCAGCCTGTCCCATGTAAAACAAACGGTCGATGACTTGAAGGGCTGTGCGTTTTCCATAGGATGTCATGCGTCTTAAGGGAAAGACACGAGCTGCGGCTGAGGAGTATGTAACAATGGCCAAGCGATCGATGTGTCTGAGGGAGAAAACCACAAGAGCCATTGCTTGTTTGAGAAGTCTTAGGTGTGGTCCATTGGGACTAGCAACTAAGACCAAGTCAGTTGCTCGTTCATGGGTTAGTTTCACAGAAAGAAAAACTCTATTGGAGGAGGGGCACATGATATAAGGTGTCTGCATTGGTGGAGATTGTAACAGTGATGAGGAGCTGCAAGTTAAAGGATGAAGGGATAGATGGCAAGGACATGAGGCATGTTTTGTGACTTGCAAAGCCGGATGGAAACTTGCTGGTGCATTTGGTGGAATAGGCACAAGAGAGAAGCACAGCTTGGGGCTGCCAGGTGTGTCATCAGGCTCAACAGGATCATCATCATCATAGCGTGCAGAGCGCAGAAGAGAACGGCGATGAACACGGAAGGTAGCAATAGAATCATCAAGGATTCGCAGAATGGGATCAGATTGGTTACTAGAAGTGAAAGAACCACAAAGGTTGTTGTTTAGGTTGCGAGGGAGTTGGGTCCAATGGGCACGACAAATGGGGCAAGTGACACTACCATGGCGGACATTGGAAGAGATGCAGGCAAAATGGAATGCATGAGAGCACTGAGCAGTGAATATAGCTTGGCCTGGACTGCTTCCCTTGCTGTGGTAACTCAGAGGATCTAAACATATTGCACACAAATTCTGCAAACAAACAAAGCAGATGAGTCAACCAAGCAAGTCTATGATGGAATATTAAGTATACATTCATGACCAAGAAAAATGTGTGTCACAAAGTGACCAGACACACTGAGATTTGATTCTGGAATAAATGAATCAACAAAATGAATGTTTTACTATCACAAAACTAACCAAGCTTTGTTTGCTTGTGTGTTATGAGCATTTGGTTCAACTTATTTTGAAGAAATTATCGCTGGTTTATACAGCTTCTTGAGAGAGCTTCTGAAAAGTAAACGATTATTTTCCTTGAAAAATGTTTTTCCAAACACGCATTTAAGAGCTTCTAGTCATACAGTTGTATGTACTTACATAACTGTGAAATACTAAGAGAAGAAAACGATAGCTCTCATATTTTCAAAGTGATATCACACACTCTCTACTCTACTGCTTTTCAAAATAGCAATATATTGGAAGATAAAGGCCAAAAGTATTGACCATCTACTAGTTTATTAGATGAGGCCTTTTTAATTAAAAGAAAGTGGCATTGCAGACTAAGTTGAGCTAAAACCAGATGTATATGGAAATCTAGGAATAAATACATAAAATTTGTCAAATCCTACCATTCTTGTGGTCTTTTGCTGGCATTCATACAAAAAATGCACGGTTTAATCAAACTTATCTCACTTTTTACCAATTGATTGAAGTAGGGACAGACACAGTGAAACTTTTTGGCATAAAATTAAAAAACGAGATTCCACACTCAAGTGACAAAGGATTGTGAACATCACAAAAGTTCACTTCCTTCATTAGGAAGCTATTGGATAATGGACATGTGTATGACAATATATAATTATCCAGAGAGGTTTTAGCGACAATAGAAGGAAAAGTATGATCATGCATGTTGTGGCAGGTGAAACTTCCCAACGTGTGGGGTCTGCATTTAATGAATTGATTCTTGGCTTCACAGATGCGCCATGTGCAGGGGCATTCACATGCTAATACCCAATATTCACTACTTTTGTTATTCTAAATTAGTACCAAACTAAACGTTTAATGCTATGCTGCCAATTTACGGCATGAGAAAAATAATAAAGCAAAATGTAGTTTAAAAGAAAAAATAAGCATAAACTGAAAAAAAAAAAAATCAAGAAAAATAATCGGATCCATAGGGTCAAACTTTGAGGCCCATTGGATTCCGAAGTATTAGTAAGTAATAATAGAATACAAAGATAGAGAACCCGAGAAAGAATAAGGATCAAAATGTGAAAATAGCTCATAAATAAGTCTTTAATACTAAACTTATGAATGTCTTAATAACATTAATATATCACCAAGTTACTTTTGTAATATGTTAATAAAGAAGGATTATTAATTTTGCCAAAAAAGGGTCTTGAGGTGGTTTAAGGAATTACAAGACAATAACCTTATTATGAAGCTCATTGTTGTTGATGTTGGAAGTGGTACCACAATCAGGATCTTCTCTTACCTCCCCTGAGGAATTTTTTGTTGTTGATGGAGACACAGCTGAGGAATTTGAGACCTGCAAACATGCAGAAAACCAAGAACAAATGTCAAATGTCAAACTCTCTTGTTTCTAACCTTCACCCAGTATTTCATAGACAAAGAACACTGGATTAGAAATTAATGTCATCAGAATTGGAAATCAACAATGACATTAATAACCACAAAAAATCCATAGCTGGTCCAAGTCACACCCTAATCAATCCGGCCTAAAGTGTCATCAGGGAAAAACAAATGAGAAAGGAAAATCACAAAAAAAAAAAAAAAAAAAAAAACAAATGGAATAACAAACAACTAGGAAGGAACATTCTCAAATTCAAAATTTCACATTCTCTAACCGATCGTGACTCAAAAGGTCTTTCAATTGGACACCAATTCTTAGAAAATAAAATAAAATAAAAACAAATTGGCAAAACTTCAGCCCATTGACAAAATGCAGGTAAAGTTTGCATCTTTTTCCAAAATGCTAAACACCCAAATGAGAAATAAATGCATAGTATGAATAAAATAAGGGAAAGTGGAAGTGTACAGTAGCAGATGGACTACAAGAGTTGTCAATGGAAACTGGATCCACCAAAGCTTTTCTTCTTGAGAATGACCCACAAGCATATGCAGCAGCCACAGCCACCTTCCTTGCTGCTTCTCTCAGCTTTGATGTTCCTCTTCTTCCTTCTCCCATTCTCTCTTTTCTCTGAGCTGTGTCAAAGCTTGTTGTAGTGTTAAGTGTGTTACCCTTCTGAAGCTGAAGCTTTTGTATTTGTGTCACAGGGAAAATAGGGACAGAAGAGAGAGAAAAAGAAAAGGAGACAAAGAGCTCTGCAAAATTCAGCAATGACCAGCTTCTGTTGCCGTCGTTGCTGTTACTTTTCTAAGTCACTATTATTGTTGTGTTCTTTCTTCATCAGCACCACACACACGCTTATATAACATAAGTACATTACACACAACTGCTTCATAGCACTGCCACCAATATACATACATTATTATAAGTGGTTGTGCCCACATTTACCAATTAAAAAATGAACCTTTTTTTTTTTGTTTTTTTTACCCTCTTTAAATGAACAAGCCAAATGAATTAGGCTAACTCAATTTGCATTTGATACTCTAATTTTAGGGACGGTTTTTGAAATTTTGCTTTATGTAAGGGATAGTGGTTCTTCTAATGTGTGTTTGTGAAAGTCAGAGTATTTTTAAATAATTTAAAATAGTTATTTTTTATTTAGTGGCTTATTAAAAAAATTGTGAGGACCATATGGTTTAGGAATATGGAAATAGGATTATTTTTGTTAAAAGATTATAATTTGATTGCTTTCTCAGGAAAGCTAAACTTGGGCTTGGCATTTTCTATTTCAAGTCATAGATTCTATCGCCTCTTCTTGTGAGTAACCCTTCCATGGAATTATGGGAAATAGACCCAGGAAAATTTTAATTGATTGGTCTACACACTACAGCATCAAACATCAATGTTATTTGCATTTAAAATGGTATTTTAGTAATCAGTAAAAAAGAAAAAGAAAGGGTTGTTGAAATTGATGAAATAGCATGAAATGAGGAGGAAGGAGAAGGACCAATATGGCCCTTTCCAGAGACAATGATATTATGGGCCATCCCACTCAAACCTTATTGTCAAATACTAGTTGTTTACAGCAATAGTGAGATCCCTCCACTAAGACCACGCGTATTTTCATCCACTTTATTTCTCATGTGTTTGTTAAAAATAAAAAATACTACAATTTTGAAAAAAAATTACGTATGCATCAAGTGTGATATGCTTATAATCCTTTTAAAAAATATATTGCCCCTAAATCTATAGTGTATGATGTGAGCGCTTGTGAAACATAATGACAATATATGAGATAAGTTCAATGATGATAAGTTTCCATTAGATTTAAAGCATTCCACCCCCACCTTCCACACAGGGAGGAGGGTCCACTTGTTTATAGCACTAGACCACATTTCTTTTTTTCTTTTCCCATTCAAACATTGTAGTGTGCAAGGCTTATCTATCTTCCTACCATTTTTCAGCATGAATTTTGGCTACAACTTACAATCACTTTGACACCAACTTGTGTCAGAAACTTGTGAATCCTTCACCAGAGTAAAAATATAGATCTGGTTGCTGGCAGGATTGGAAAGCAAAGCAAGGAAGAGAGGAAAAAATGAGAAAGAAAAAAACAAAAAGAAAAGAAAAAGAGGAGGGTCAAAAGGGTTCCAAGAGGTGGGGAAAATGACCGTTTTATTTGAATTTAAAAAGGTTCAGCAATCAGTCTATGATAGCTTCCATTCTTTGGCTTTTTTTTCCTTTTAGGTTGTTAATAAATAAATAGCCATGTTTGGACCAAAGAAAAAAAAAATTAAAGTAAAAAAATGGCCATGTATTGTTATTTGCAATGCAAAGGTTGCCAAAGTAGAAAGACCGGTGGGCTGGCGCCAAAATGCTTTTCTTGCACCGATTGTATTCCACTTGTCTTCATAAACTGATGACATACATGGGCTACCTTATAAATCTCTTTTTCCTCTTTCTTTATTCTTGTTCTTTTATAGCTGATACATATTTATTGTTTAGCTTTCTAGGTTTGACAGAAAATGGTATCTCATTGGTGGAAAGTTTTAGATTAAAATTCCTAATAAGAGAATCACATGGTAGTTAATTATTTTTTGGGTGCTAGGTGTTTGGGATTATGTGTTTGATGGGAAATTAATTTGAGCATATGGGAATAGATCATGACTTCAATAAGTTTTTTATGAACTTATTTTATTTTTTGTGAATAGTTTGTTAAAATAAGTTTTTTTTTATTAACTTTATTTCAATAAGTTTGATAGTCTAAGCTCTCATGTGATAAAATTGTATTAAATAAATATTTAGTTAAACAATTGCCCAACCAAATCCTTAAATATATCACCACTAATTTGGATCCGAACCTAATGTTAATTGCCTTTTCAAACCCGAGTATTAGCTCATTTGTTGCAAGACATAATTGTATATGGAATTTTAACAAATCACAATTTTATTAGACATGGAGAAACTTGTGACAGCTAGTTCATTATTTAAAGTAAGAATTTTCCCCCTTTTGGGTAGCATTTAACCAGAGAACTTCAGACTCTACGGTAATAATACAAAAATAGTCATTTAATTCATAAGGTATGAATATGCTAACAAGTTTGAATTTCTTTAGTTTGAACTTCAATGTTAAAAATGACAAAGTGAATTTATTTTATCATATAAAAGCATATTGTGATTGAAAAAGAGAAGGGAACTGAAAAGGGGATTATTTTGTAGTAGTAGCTTCATGTGTGCTTTTGCAAGCCTTGTGCTTTCTTTCCCTTCCCTTTGATCTGAAAAAGGATGAGTTGTCCCATTGATGATTGAAACCCGCTAGAATAGGTAGTGTTCGAATACTCCTGCCATAGGTGACCATCAAATGCTTCTTTGCTCTTTTTACCTTATTTCTTTTTATTTTCTTCTTCTTTTTTTTTGCTTCCAAATTCTCTTTTTGTTGTCCCATAATACCGAAAAAGCAGAGGGACCCAAATTACTTACATATTAGGTTACTGTAGCAACCTATGTTCAGATGAGATATATACCGTAAGCTTCTATATCACCAAACAATAAATTGGAAACGTAAGCATCCCATATGAAGCAAAATAAAATAAAATAAAAACTAACATTGTCTAAATTCAACTGCAATTTGTAAACATTTAAAAATAAAATCTAGCAAAATACAATGATTTAGCAGGGTCTGGATTATAATCTTCACTGAACTAGGCAGGATAATTTGAGTTACCTAATGCACTAGATCACAGTTTAAGCAATCAATTAATAAATCAACTAGTAGAAATGATTTTTATGAGGATGAACATATTCTATGAATATAGTTTGTGTCCACATTCAAACAATTATCAATTTCGTTTTTCTTTTTATGTCAATTATCAATTTCTTTTCTGTCGATAAGTTATTTGGAATAGTTAGGTAGTAAAGCTCCCCCATCACATGCTTCAAGCAAGACATATAACAAGCAGACAAATGACAGAAAACCAATAATTTATAATTTAATGTCTACAACCTACATAGAGTTGTCCTGGGTTATCAATCACTAAACTTGAATGTGCTGATTTTAATGCAGATTCAGGTTTATTCATTAATTGTGGTGCATGAGAAATGTATCAAAATTTGATATTTTTAATCAAAGCAAGTTGCTGTAATAGAGCCAGAAAACGATGGATGCACCAAAGGAAAATAATGACAGTACTGAGAGCTTAGGGAATCTCTCTTTTTTGTGAATGACATATGGGAAAGCTGTTGATGATCCTCTCTTGCTTCTCAAAAGAAGGTAAAGGGGAAAGCTTTCTTGTGTCCGCATAACCTTGCTGCTTGCTAACCTACAAAGATGAAATCTGTCTAACTGCTTGTTCAAATAGTTGAATTTGACCAGGTCAAATATAAAGGTGTTGAACTTGGATTATATGGATTTTGAGCTTATCTCTGTAATCTTAGAGCATGTTTGGAGTGAATTATTTACATGGATTATAATCTGCTTGATATAGAAAAAATGTTAGTATTACTGTTCAAATGTGTTCATTAAATTATATTATAATCTTTGATTATAATTTCAACAAAGGAATTAGTTATTAGATGATAAGCAAAATTTTGAAGCTTATGATTAAACTAACAATTATTTTCTATTTAACTTTTTTTTTTCATTTTATTTCTAACAATTGTTTTTGTATTAGAAAATTACTGCTACAAATAACTTCATTTGTTTTTGCAATTTTTGTTCAAAGGGTAATTCTTTTAAACAATCCCAACATAATAGATTATTTCAAGATTACTTTTCAACTAACATATTAAAATTGTTGCTTACAGCAATAATCAATTATTGAAATAATTTGTTTTACATTTAGTCCAAGCACATATTTATTCTAACATGTTGCTATCTCTATCCGTATCTTTTTTCTTAGTCATGAATAGTTTTTCCTTAATACATGCACCTGATTTCCTGGTGGTTGTTAATAGGTCACAACTCACAAGAGGCCAAGTTTTGGCATTTTCTAATTGTTTGACGCCCTCACTTTTGATAGTCTATTAATCATAATGCAATTGGATTTCACGGTCACATCTGAATCTTTTCGTTCCTATCTGGACCACAACATAAAGAAAAAGAAAGAGTCATACTGCAGCTTTTAGAAATCCCATGATTAGAATAGAGGGGTAAATCATTCCCTTATTTGAATTTGATTTGGACTTTGGAACTGAACGGTAAGCAACATTTTCACTTTTTACCTTTCCAGTTCCCTCTTTCGTTTGCAAGAACATAAGAATCCACTTCCAAGCCTAAAACATCCTCATAATGTAACTGTAGTAAGCTTGTCAACTTTGTATTCTCATCTATATTGTACTTATAAAGTTATTATCATTTATCACTCTCAATGATTTAAATCAGATGCAATATACCAAACCAAAGTTTGAACTAAACTGGGGCATTCATAGTAACCCACAATAAAGTAGACATTTTTTTCATGATATATAACTGAGGTTAGTCTTTAATTAAGTGGGAACTAATCTACTAGCAATGAGTTCTTTGGTGTATAACCCATTTCCCTCGTCAAATGTTGAAGATTCTGTTGCAATAATCCATAAATTTCCTCAACCTGGGGATGAGATCTCTCCCCAACAACAAATACATGATTTTTTCCTTTTATTTGTATTTGACTATATCCTGGAATTTTCTTCACATTTCTCTCTCTCATTCTTTTCCTTACATGTGAAAACTCATCCCACTGACCTTCTGCAGCATATGTATTGGCTAGTAGTACATATCCCCCAGAACTATATGACTCTAGCTCTAATAGCTTCTCACCAATAGAATTGGCTATTGTAACGTTCCCATGAAGCCTGCATGCACCAAGCAATGTCACAAGAACAGCTTCATCCCTCTCAGAATGAGGGATAGTAGATACTACATCCATTGCTTCATCTACAAGTCCTGCTCTACCTAGAATGTCTACAAGGCAGGAATAATGCTCAGCCTTAGGATTTAAGTTATAAGTACCCTTGATTGAGTCAAACAGTTTTCTACCTTGTTTGACAAGACCAGCATGGCTACATGCTGATAAGAGTCCCACAAAGGTAACCTCATCTGGCTCATTTCCAGATATTAGCATGCGTGCGAATACCTGTAAGGCATGGTGACTATGTCCATGATTCGAGTAGGCTACTATCATTGCAGTCCATGACACCACATCTTTTGACTTTAGTAGCTCAAAAACAAGCCTCGAAGCACAAAGATCCCCACTTCTGGAATACAAAGTAATAAGAGCATTTGCAAGCCAGGTGTCATGCTCAAACCCAAGCCGTATAACTATTGCATGAGCTTGCATGAGCTCCGCCATGCCATCACAGGAAGTTACTACGCTAGTCATAGTGGTTTCATTAGGTCTAAAGCAAGATCTTAGCATCAAAACAAATAACCTTAAGGCTTCTCCTACCCCACCATTCCTTGTAAAACCATCAATCATTTTGTTCCAACTCCCAACATTCTTCTCTGGCATCAAGTTGAAAAGCTCACGAGCTTCATCCATGAGCTCCTCATCAACATATGCAGTGATCATTGCAGTCCATGCAGCCACATCTTTATTAGGCATGTGATCAAAATACTCCCTTGCAACCCCAATCATCTTGTTTTGTGCCAAACCCGAAACCATAGCTGTCCACGAAACATGATTCCTATCCAGCATTGATTCAAACAAATATATAGCCTCATTCACCCTATTGGCATTCAGACAACCCGATATCATGATGTTCCAAGATCGAACATTCCTCTCAGGCATTTTAGCAAAGAGCTTATAAGCCTCACTGAAGCAGCCATTGTCAAGATATGACTTGACCATTGCTGTCCAAGTTATGACATTCTTTTCAGGCATGAGATCAAAATACTTCTGAGCATGATCCATCATCCCATTGCGAGCAAAACCTGAAACCACTGCAGTCCAAGAGACAACGTTTCTCTCAGGCATTTGATCAAACAAGTGCAAAGCCTCCTCAATTCTTCCACAACCAAAATATCCAGAAATCAAACTGGTCCAGGAGAATGCATTCCTCTGTGTCATACTATCAAACACCTCGCGGGCATCGTCCAAGCGACCAACTTTAGCATACCCATCAATCATTGCGGATTCAGCAACAACGTTTCTATGTGGCATTGCCTTGAAAACCCTTTCAGCACCGATTAGGTCCTTGTTCATTAAATAAACGGTGATCATGGTGTTGTAAGAAACGGCATCTCGGTGAGGCATTTCATCGAACAGCTTCCTTGCTTCTTTGACCTTTCCGTGGCGACCCAGAATCGTCATCTCCACGTTACGTTTGCGGAGTGCGTGATCTGAAGACCTTGGCCTCAAACTCAAATTCTTGGGCGTTAAGATGGTTCCCGAGTTTGAATTCCCCCAATTAGTTTTTTTCAGCAAACCCTTTTCTGGGTTTGTAAAAATGGAAGCTTGGAAATGCCTCAGGAAACGAAAACTGGGCCGAGACATGCGACGGCAGTGGCGACAGACACACATGTTTATCATCGGTCCTACGTTGAAATCATGGATTCTTATAATTTTTCATGTTTTAATATTTTTATTTGAAAATTTTGATAAAAGTGACACACTCTAGAGTACGGTGTTTGATTTCTGTTTTTAAAACGGTTTTCTGCTTTTAAAAATTAATTTTGATATAAATTTGTGGTATATACCAAGTACACACCTTAAAAATCTATGAACAAAACATTCTTAGTTGAATACCCCTAAATATTTTGTGACATCAATGCCAGTTCTTATTAAAAACACAGCATCTTATTCAGCCGGGTACATTAAAAAAATGTAATTACTTTTTAACTAGTACTTAACTATTAAATTACAACCTTGAAATTTTGATTGTTGAGAATGCATAGCAAAAAGCTATTTGCATATCACTTTTCCAATATTAATTTTCAAGACTGATCTGTGTACCAACAAACAAAAGAAGCTATCTCAAACCCCAACAATTGTAACCAAAATCTCAGTGATTAGGAGCCTGTGAACAATTTAGAAATAACTACACAAATTTGGCAAAGACCCTCTAAAGCATTGTTCATGAAGCAAAGTGGGCAATGATGGGTTCCTCTGAAAGTAGCTTGACAATCCTCAGCACCATGAGAAGCAACACCTGCCAAATCAGCCAACTCAAAGAAGGTCTCAGAGTTCAAGTCATTGTAAGCTGTTTCAATAGCAGATATAGCCTTTTCATAGTCAAAGGCACACCTTTGAAGATGCATGCGGTATTGGCTTGAAGTGGCTTTATTTAGCAGCTTTCTTATGTAGTCCCTAGTGTTAGTGGCATTGAGATATGCTAAACGAAAGGCAACATAGGCTAAGCCATAGCTATCTGATTCCGAGGCATTTGGGTCAGAATATAGAGACTCAATGCAGAATGTGTAGTTTGAAGTTTTGCCACACACTTCATCCACTAGTTTTGTTACATTGTTATTAGAAGCATACGAGGGATGGATAAAGAGTATGACAAGCAGCACAAAACAGCAGAGGGGATGATACTTGATAATATTCTTGCACTTTTTCTCTTGTGAAATTTTGTGGTGCAAAGGGGAACTGAAGAGATGTGCCATCTAATCTGAATCTATTACTTGCATCAATGAAGAAGTGAAACTGAAGCTTTGAGGTCATCAAGCCCCAAGTTAGCTCTCATTTGTCTCTTGGATAAAACTTAAAAGCAATGATTAATAGTAATTAGAGTTTTATCCTTATAATCTGTGTCTTTTTAATGATGACGTGCTGATTTTTAATATTAATTTTTATTATATAAATTATTAAAATAAAACTTATTTTTAATTGTTCTAACAATACTTATATTACAACTTATATTCTTTGTCTTTCACAGTGATTCTTTAAAACGTGTTCATCACAGATTGCAGCAACATACGGTGGTGCTGCTACTGATATAGAAACATACACAATAAACTATTTACTCATTCACTTGACAAATGTTCTTTTATAGACTTAATGGTGAAAAAACACTTATTATACTAAAGAAAAAATTATTTAACATTTATTTTTTATATAATTTAAAAAATTGCTTTTCTAACATGTAATCAAAGACATGTAATAAAAAAAAACTTATGTGTCTTATAATTTTTAATAAAAACTTATTATACATGTGTGTATTATTGGACATATGTAAGAAAAAAACGTGTAAAAGATTAATAAAGTGCATTAAATATTTTTATTCAATATTATTGTCATTAACAACTTATTTATACTCCGTTTCAGTTTCTAAACAACATAATATCGTTTTTTTCTGAAGTTCTATAAAGGCAATTGAGGTATGAAAAGGTTTATTTCTTTGTTAATGTCTTTTAACGGTACAAGTTATATTGTTTGTTTCCATATCTTACGACACTTTGTATCATGGCCCAAGCAATGTGTGCAAGCTTACTCTAATTCAGATGTCTACTCTTGTGCAATTCACTGAACATGAGAAATGAGTATTTCACATTCTTTTTGGGTTACACTCATGAGTCAATTTGCCACAATGGAACATTGACCAGAAAGGAAAAGAGAGACAAAGAAAAAGTGTAGAATGAATTAAAAAAGCTAAATTAGTTACCATTTTCATAACAATTAAGCTCTTGTTTAGTTTAAAATTAAGAATTAGTTTTGAATCTTGAATTATAATTGAGATACACTCATGAGGGCTGTTTGTTTTAAAAATTATTTTCTGTTTTTATTTTACGTTTACAGTTTTAATTACAAAAATGTCACATTATTTTTATTTTATTTCTTGTTTCGAAGTATTTATACAAAAAATAGTGAAAACAGAAAAAAGGTATTTTTAATATTTCTTATACAAATTTTTAAAAGTTTTAAAACAGACTAATAATAAAATGAAAGTTTTATAATTAAAACTGAAAATAAATAAAAACAATTTTTTCTTAAATCAGGAAAGGTTGAGAATTCATTTTTCATCTATAAAAGAAAAACCAATTTGGCACCATCAAACTCTTGGCTTTCTACTCTTCATGCTGATGCCATGAGGGCAGCTATTAAAAAGTTGACTTAAGCCTAACCATACCTAAAACAGTTCTGTGTTATCTGATCTATGAATTAGCAGTAATCTGATATATATTTAATAGTGTTATTAAACATTAAATTTTAATTTTAATATACTGTTAATGTAAAAATTTATACTATTAATGATTGGAAAATATTATAAATATAATTTTTAAAATAGTTATTATAAAAGTTAATAATTCTTATTAATATGATAATACATAGTTAAATGCCAGTATCCTTTACATTGTTAATGCAATTGAATTAAAGTTTAAATATTATGCAGAAATAAATATTTAAAATCTGATGATTATGTAAGTTAATTTTATATTGTTTAAGATAATATTTGAATGTGCATACGCGGATGTGATTTTCCAATCAATTATTATAACTCCACGATTTATCCTTCACATTTAAATATTTTTGTTCCCAAGTCCCTTTCAATGGTTTTCTCGTCCATATCTTTTGTGATTGATTTTTTGTTGGGGGTCAATTTGTGAATGATTTTCTTGCTACTTTTGTTGTTCAATTTTGGGCTGGTGTAATTTATTCACACTATCATTTCCTCAATAAGGCCCGTAGCAAATGCAAACACGGATTCATGAGGAGTGTATGCACGTGATCACAATGGTTACCACAGTCCATAAAACAATTTTGTCAAGTAACAATGGGTTCCACCACCGTGTGATCACAGAAGCTTTGATTCTTTAAACCTACCAGTTGTTGTACTGATTCATTATCATTTCTATGCATGTCCTATTGAGTGACAGGTATGTCTATGGGCCCATGCCAAATTGTGGTATGCACAAGAACATGATTCATCCATCTTATATTCATAATCAAGTCACAAGCATGCACACTTTAACCATATTTTCTTTCGGTTCTACCCTAATACTACTTCCCCCCCCCCCCCCCCCCCCTATTTGTAGCAACGTTTCCTAACCATTATCTAACCTCTACCATACTCCACTTGCAACTTAAATAAGAAAGATCATAAACAGCCTTATACTTAAAAATTGAAGAAGCACTACCCAACCCACCAAACATAACCATTACATTTGTCGGTGTAGCTAACTCCTATGATTATATTGAACAACTTTGTCTATGTTTTCTTTTCCAAACTTTAAACCTCTAAGCAGAATATGAATGGACCAATAAACAAAAATTAACTCCAGTTGCTAGGGTTACATCTACATGGGGAATCACTAAGCTTCCCATTACCACTTTTGTCCAATAAAGCAACAAGGATTTTAAGTTGTAGACAAGTAAGAAAGTTGAATATGGAGGGTATTAACACCCAATTGGAATGAAATAATGATAAATGATGGGTTAAAATTGATAAATTGCACAAAGTATTGGTACATATAGCAAAAAAATACTACTTTACTCTACAATGAATTTTGAAAAAGGAGGCAAGGGAGCGGAACAAAACTAGCCTCTTCATTTTTCATTTACAAGGTACAGTTAGCATCTCTGCAGGTATGTGATCAAGGATTGCAAGTCCAAAAAATACTGATGTTAAAGCAGGAAATCGTATACAAATTGAATTGTAAAGCTTTAAAAAAATAGAAGCCCTACACAGATGGAATTGCAGATCTAAAAGGTGCACCATAACTTGGCTGATGCTGGGAAAACTTCAATGATCATACATACTGAAAAGACCTCACTATTGATTGATGTTGCATTCTCGCAAATACAGATGATTGTAGTCAACATACTTTACCCAATAACTTCGAAACTTGGGAATACTTATCTCAAGCCATGGCTTTAGGTTCCCATTGTAGTGTACAACAGCAGACTGCTCAATATCTTTTTGATTGACGTTGGGATTGTAGCCAAGACCCAGGACATGCCAAGATCGATTCAGTGGGAAAGTGCGCTTCCAGAATGTTATGAGACCGGGTGGCAGTGTTCCTAACTTCCATAGTTGTCTATTATGATTCTGTATTTCAGTTTAATTAGAAAAGAAAATCAGTTCACAATTCAACTCAGAAAGAAACAAGACATTTCAAAAACAGGATAGACTAATGGCAATGTAAGTGCAAATTGGATGAATGAATAATGAATATAACCTTAAAATAAACACAACAAACAAAATATTCATGCCTTTCACTGGCCAAATGCATTATGTTACTAATTTTAGATATGATTAATTTGAGAAACAAACAATCAATCATATGGGATATACTCGCTGAAAAAGTAAACTAAAGCACTCCACTTACCAGATTCTGCCAATTGTGGTATACTTCTGTGATGTTTTGCCTCTTCCATTCCACTAAATCAAATATATTCATACCATAAGCCCACCCACAAGCATGTGGGTCAAAATTCTTTGCAATAAGAGGATTTGAGAAGTTGAGATAGCGATCAAATCGGTGAAAATTTTCTCCACAAGTTTCTACAGCACCATTTACGTTGCCTTTCAAATCAATTGACCAAAGATCAGTCAGATCTTTCTGCACAACTATATCATCATCCAAGAACAGCACTTTGTTGAGCTTTGGAAAGATCTCAGGCAGGTAGAAGCGGAGGTGGTTCAAGATAGATAAATACTTCGGATTTCTAAACTTCAGGTTTGAATCAGAAGTTGCTTGATGAGCCTTGAAGTAATAATCTATCATAGATGGAGAACCCAACTGTCTAAGAACAGGACTGTAACTTGAATTCAACCATGTAAAGTTTTCAATGTTTTGAACTTGAATGGTTGCCTTGCCCGGTGGATTCACCAAAAACCACATCTTCATTGCAGCATAATTGAGCCTGTCAGTAACTATGTGGAAAACATGTTTTGAGGCATCCTGCAAATCCATTAAAATAATATATATTATGAGCATGAGACATCAATATGAAATAAAAGTACCATTTGCATCAAAGTTGTTGAAAAGTTAGTTGATTTACTCTCTGTTTTAATTCTTCAATAAGGCCAAACGCCAAACATAAAATAGAAACCAGTTTTTCTATTTAGTCAAAATAAACAAAGTGTAGTTATACCACAGTACAGCCATGCTAACTTCTTCGATGTTTCTCAATGATCATGATAACCAAAGAAATGTCAAGAGAATTCTCAAAGTGAAAACAGTTTACCTTAGCATTGGAAACAGTTGAGTTCACAACAACAGATGTTGCCAATATGTTGTCAGAAAATATGGCATAATGGTATAAATGAGGGTCTTCTAACTTCTCTTGATTGGGGAACTGTTGCTGAGAAGAATTCAGGTTATAATACTCAGTTGTAAGGCGCAATGGTAGACAATGAAGACCTTTGGGCAGTGTTTTTGCTGTCAACTGTGTTAAGAACACAGTCTGCTTCTTGAGAACATGGAGCTGCTCCTCTGTTGAGTGATGCATAGCCCGAAGCTTCTTCACAACAGCAGCACAATCATCCTGAGCTTGCTTTCCTTTCATCAGTGTTTGCTCCATTGCCTTCATTCTCTCATTTGAACTGGCATAAGTAAAAATATAAAAAAGACTGAACAAATATGCAGCTCAGAGCAGAAAATGAGCTATTTATTATGTTTATGTGCAGAGGCAAGAGAAACTAAAAGACAATAGCTCAAATTCAAGAATCATTACAGGAAAACATGAAGATAACGACATTATTAAAGGTGAACATACTTCTTAGGCAAATCAGAATCTTTGCTTGAATCCCCAAGTGTTCGTGAAACTTCTTTCACCCGTAACCGAAGCTCCCGAGTGAGATGGGGATTGTTTTTTACTACTGGAAGGGAAAGATAAACCTTAGCTTGGATAAGCTGATCTTTAAGTTGCTTTACCCGAGCATCAGATGGCATTTGGTCATTGTGCTTATTGGTTTCAGACAATACAGGTCCTTTCTTGTTTATTTTGCTAGAAGTTTCCGTTGCTTCTTGTTGCTCCTGCTCAGCAGCCTGAAAAATAGATGCATGAAATTTGAGACAAAAAATTTCAATACGCATTGAGATTGATTTTTGTTTTTCATTAGCATAATATAATTTTCTGAAAATTAGGGTTGGGAAAATGTAGTAAAGAGCGTAGATGGGAAAGACTATACTAGCAACTTATTTGTTCCCTTTCCTTAATTGAAATGGGCAGTTGAAACAACTCTTAATTTGTTGCACCCATTCAACATGGCTATGTTGCTGTATCTACACAGAACAAGATTGCATTGCACCCTGCATAAATCTGTTTCATGTTCTTTGCCACAAATGCACCCAGCCTGATCTAAGATGTCTACATCACAGAGACACAAACCTATATATATTTAAATTAATGCAGAACTTATATATCATATTTAGCAAACTACCAATTTACTAATTTCTGTTTGCAATTCAAAATAAATTATGTAAGAGCTATTCATGTACATAGTAGAGGGTAAGCCTTGTTGCAACGTAAGTGTCGTTGCCTGATATTTTAAATTCCATATAAGGCGACCAAATTCAAGCATCAGAAGCCCTGAGTATGCATAATATTATATTTGATACATGATGCACAACCCATCATAGACATAATTATATATAGTTTTTCAGTAAGATCAGAAGCCCAAAGGAATTTTCTTACCCAACTATCAGTCTATCGCCATATAAGACTTACATGAGGACGCAGCAGTAGTAGATACAAAATGAAAAAAGAAAGGGATGCTAAAATCAAGGATATATCACCGACCTTAATTTGAGGCGAATCATGCATTGATTTAGTAAGCTTTCCCTCACTGTCTTCAACATCAATAGCATCTTCCCCATTTACATTTTCGCCAATTGCAACAGATTTCTCCAAGATGCTGCCATCAGTCACCAGTTTGATGGGGTTCTCCTTTCTATTTTGATCTTCCTCAGTTGTGGTTGACAATACCCTGGCAGACACATGCTCTCTTGATTTCACTAACAATAAGTCTAGGTCAACGAGACAAAGAGATTAGATAAAAAATGCAGGACCCAGAAAAGACGATGCAGAAAGACCCAAAATCTTACTGAACAACAGAGAAATACCAAACAAAATACCTTGAGGCAAATTCTTTCTGTTAGTTGAGTCGTCCTCGGTATACACAATTCCAATAGGTTCTTTAATAGCTGTTGAAGTTTCCTATTTACAAAACGAGAGATTTCAGCAATAAACAACAAATCATGACAGATTCAACGCTAAGATACATCAACCTAAAAAAGAGTTAGAAAAAAAATGAGAAAAGAAAAGAAGGGAACTATACTTGTGGTAGCAGATTCAAGTGGCCAGAGTCTGCTGCACTAAAAGCCTGACACAACATAGCAAAAGAAGATTCAGAAACTCAAAGATCTCTCTCTCTCTCACTCACTCACACATCCACACTCTCTCACTACAAAACTGAATAATCTTTCAAGTGAATCACCACTTACAAAAGCAGTGACATCTTCGATAAACTCTTGCTTGCCTGCAGAATGCAATTAAAAACCAACCAAAAGTAACCAAAATCATCACAAAAATCCAAAGCAAAGAAATTTAAAGGAAGAAAAGTAAGAGAAACTCACTGGAGGAAGATTCAAATGTGCCAAGGCGATCAGTGTAGAGCACAATAGGAGCCACAACAGTAATGCAAAGCAACGACAGCACAATGTTTCTCACCGCCACCATTTTCTATTGCAAAGAAAAAGGCACGAGATTGTGCTTGTGCCTCAGAGGACACAAAGCGAAGAAATTGCAGCCAAGAAGGAAACTTTGCGAGAAGAAAATAAGACCCACTTTCTCTTGTCCTTGTGGGTATGTTGGAATCTGAAGGTAGAGGGAATCTGAAGCAGTTACGTTAAAAGAAGAAGAACGTTTGTGATTATAGAAGGAAGAACCAAACAAGGAACGAGAATAGAGGAAGAGAGAGAAGGAACGAAAAAGAATGAGTCTTTGCTTCTCTGCGTCACTTTGGTGTGTCACTATTTGCAAACGGCAACTTTCTTATTAATGGAATGTAATTGTAATTAGCTTACTGAGTTAAACAAACAAGAAGGGATCAAGAAGATCTTGTTAATAAATCTTTAATTAATAGAATTGCGTGTATTTATATAATCATTTAATAATAAGAGAGCATATAAGTGATTGAAATTGGAATTAATTTGTAAGGTTAATTATGAATTTTATGATTGATTAATTAAGGTAATAATAATGATAAATTTATTTAAACGCGTCTAGTTGTTCACCATGTGAAGGAAAGTCGCTTGGCTGACGCGCGTGATTGCCGCTTCTTTATCTGCTATTTATTTATTCATCTTTGTTTAAAACTCGATTAATATTATCTTATTTTATTAGTGTGAAGTTATATTTTAATAGTATCTAATTTTGAGATTTATTAAATTTTTTAACATAAATAAGATAAATTTTATAACTTGTACCTAAATAAGTAACGTGCAGCTGTAGCCAATGATGTTTGCTTCTTTTTTCTGTTTGTGCGCTATTTCATTCACTGTTTCTTAATCAAATTTTTTTTAGCAATTTCTTAATCAAAAGGTTGGGTTAGACTATTAAGCATGGAATGGTACTAATTTGTCATCTTGATCATATAGCAGTACACTATCAACAATTATGTGTTTCACCAACTGTTTTCATGATTATTTTGAGTAAAATATTATTGTGGGTAGTTCAACGTTTTCGCAGTGGTCCTAAATTCTTGTGATCAGAAGCATTGAAGATGGAAAAATAAATACAACAAATTCATGTAGTTATCATATTTACTATATATTCAACCATTCTGTATTTTAATGATAAAATACGACAAAATTCTTTTTTTTTCATACAATTTATTACAGAATTATAGTATCAATAATAAAATTTTATATATTAACATTATTTATATTTTAAATAATAATTGGTTAAAATTACCATAATTTCAAGGTAAAATCTATTGGACTCCTTGTAATTGAGAAAATTTGACATTTAAAGTACTCTTTGTAACTAAGAAAAATTAATTTATTTTATACGTAGAATAATTTTGATTATTAATTTTATATTAACAAATAATAAAATTAATTCTTAGTTTAAAAAACGTTAATACTCTTTATTTTTAAGATATTAAAAAAATTATAACTGTTAATTTTAAAAAAAATATATAATACTCACTCAAATTTACATATAACACTGACACTTAGTTTCAAATCATTTAAAAATTTTTCGTTAGTGTTAGGAAAGAGTTGGAGATTATTTTATAAACCCACTTCATGTGGCTTTGTTTATGCAGATTTTTTTACATTTCAATTGTTCCCATACTCTGAATACCACAAATTATAACATCACTGGTTGTTATACAACTTTAGAGATATAATAATAATAATAGAAACCAAAGTGTCGGCACAATCAAATGTTGCAACTATCCACCAAAGTGCAAAGTAACAATTTTCAATTATTAATGCATTGTTTTTTACATTTTGAGTTTTGTATTTGTGATGCATTTTCTAAGAATAGGGGTATGGAACCAACCTCCATAGGATATAGTCATGCAAAGAGTCTATCAAATATATGTTGTTTTGTGTTTCTTGAATTGTTTTGGTTTTGCTTTATGCATTTATTTATTCAATAATTCTCAACAACTTCAATTTATTTATTTGACATTAAAAGTGAAATTTCTATTCAAACCTTTCCCTTGTTGCCATTTGAGATTTGTCTAACTACCGTTTACTAGCAAATTTTTTTTAAAGAGTTGTGAGATTGAAAGTGTGCATATATAGTAACATCATCACCGTAGAAGTTAGCATATTATATATATGGAATACTTTCTCCTAAAGTGACGATCTGTAGCTTTCCATTAAATAATGATGTTAGACTATTCTTTTAAACCATTGTGCCCATTCTTTATCTTAATTCATGTCCTGTGTCTCTTACCCTTGATAAAAGAAAAACAAAACAAAAAATTACTAGGTAGATCAAAAGTATATCTTTGTTTCAAATAAGGAGCGTATCCATACATTTATGACTTTCATTTTCCAAACATCTAAGTAATGATTCCATTTAAGAGGAGCAAGTTTTCAGATGGGTCAATTGTTCATACATATAAGAAGGGTCACAACTACAGCAAGCCCACTCAATCATTTTGAAGGTAACGTATAATGGCTTTTAACTGTAGAACTAAAAAATCATCAAATCATACTTATATCCACCACTAAAAGTAAATAAATAATAATAATAATTAAACAACAAAGCAAATTGTGGACATGTGGGCATAATCCACTGCTACCAAATGAAATAAAGGGAGGCAAAGATTGTTTTTGATGATTCCTATAAATGTTAGACAAACTTTCTACCCCTATTATACAGTCAAACATTACACTCATCTCAAGATAGTAACTCCACAAAGCTACAAATTAATCTCTAGTCTTTATTGATCATAATCACAAGATTCCCTTTTGTCTAAACTGCATATGTCTCGATCTCTTCTAGGCTTAATTTGGACTGTGGTGAATGGGATTGGATTTCATTTTTCAGGATTGTGCTACGCTGTGGGTGTTACATACATCCACATGGACCTTTTAGGTTCAAAATTTAATATTTTTTATAAGGAATTATGGGGTGAAATGGAATGAAATAAGTAGTGAATACATACATTCTGAAAGTTGCATAATAATTTTGATTTACAATTGTTCCAATAGGATCATTGCTCATTTGGCATCTCTTACTTTATTTTTCAATTCTTGTCACATCATATCATATATTACATCTCTCACTTGTTTTTTTCTTATTATCTCTCTCATGATGTCTACACCTTAATTTATCTATCAAACATTTCCCTTTGCATAAATTTTAGTTGCATGTTTTTCTACTACATTTTCTAATTGATCAGCATATACAAGTCCAAGCAATTTTATTTGGCCATTGAAACGAAAAGTGTGGCAAAATTGGTGATGGCTTACACAAATAAAAGCCATGCAGAAGAGAGGGGAAGGGATAGAAAGAAAAGAAAGAGGGAATAGAAGAAAGAGTGGAATTGGTCAGTAGACACTTGATCAAAAGTTGACATATCCATATATGGTGTAGATTGTGGCTGGAACTATTAACCTTAAAAAATACCCAATGTTGTTGTTTCAAAGAGGCTTATTGAGCAGAAAGCTCCAAATACAATCTACATCCTTTGCATCCAGCTCCAACCCATCACACTCAAATGGCTGCCACACATCCTCCACCAACTTGGCTTCTGGAACATGAACAGTTGATGCTTCTGTAGTCTCACACAATCCATGTTCCTCAGAGAAATCAATACCAGCAGTTTTAAAGTAAGTGTCTTGTGGTTCTAGAGATGACACAAAATTCTCTTCAAAATCAAAGAAACATTCGTCTGATTTGGACATGACACCATCTTTTAGCCAAGGGAAATCAAACACTCCAAGTGCCAAGTTGGAATCCCATGCCTTGAAACAACCCTTCTCTTCCACTTCCTTCTTCTCCTTCGTGAAGCTTATGCCATGGATATCCCTCTTCTTTGCATTGTTGTTTTTCTCAAAGGAAGATTCAATCTCAACTTCACCATCTTCTCTTGCTCTCTTATTCTTCTCCTTCTCCATTTTCAAACACCCAGATATCGTTTCTGTCAATGGAAGATTCACAATGTTATCAACTCGTATACATCCAATACCCTATTAACACACTTCTAAATTATCAAACACAAAAACACATCCAAAAGTTGCACTACTAAGATCAAAATATTAATAAACAAAGGAAGACAAAACTTGGGACACATACATGATCGCAAATTATTGTTTATACCTTATATATAAAAGTGAACAACCTCTTTTAATTCACATAAAAAGAACGTTTACGAAACCGCAATTATGATTTTTAGAATCATTATCTCATGATGATGATGATGATCCTAAGAGTAATTAGTAGTTGATGAATACCTGAGTCTTGAGGCCAAGAGACAGCTTGGAACTTTTGGTACGTATATATATTTATGTTTGAATTTGGAACAATCGGTGGTAACGTAATCTTAAGAAAACTGATTTAGAAATGGTGAGCTTTGTACACACGCTCGCTTTTTTTAAGGTAAAACCGTATCTTCCAAACTCGTATAACACAGCTCACACAATGATCACACGTACACATGCACACGTGCATGTACATTTCTTTTCACCCTTCACCTGCGGTCCTATCTTATGACACCAGCAATGAAATGTGAGATAGGTGTTAGCTCCTCTTTTTACGTTTCTAATTTTGGATGAGCAAAGACTACAAAGAAAAAATCAAGGCAATAACGAAGCAGGTAAATCTTTAAAGCTTTGTACTTCTCCACTGCTAATCACGGGTGGTGGTAATGTGTTTGTGCACAAAAAACTATGCATTTTCATGGTTTTATGGTGATTTCAGGCATCTAAAGCTGCTGGCGTCATTTGAGGGCACCCGAATTTTTGTTTGAACCCTTTTGATGCTTGTTTTTTTCCTTACCAAAGGGGTTAATATTTGTTAAGCACCAACAGGTTTCAGCTGCTTTTGCAGTCTGCACTTCAATTATGGCAGGTTATCTTTTGATATCTGTATTTTTGTCGTATAATGGCTTATATAATCTGTCATAATTCAATAGACGTTACGCCTCATTGGGACCAATCACTCAAATTATACATTAAAACGTTAGAAATATTTACAGTGCTCTAGCTTTAGCAAGTTAAGCACATCTACAATTTTTTTGGGTCATGTAGCACATTTACAGTTTGCAACTATGTCTAATTCACTACAGAATAAGAGAACACTACAGCAGTCCCTGACAGTATTATTTAGGCATCAAGTAATTATTGACAATATAAGTTACACTACATACAGTTATTTTCATTTCTTTTTATATCTTTTTTGTATCCATTCACATTTCAAAATCAAACGAAACAACTTTTGCTGTTAATGTTTTGCTGTACACAAGATTTTCCCTATTACAAATGACCAAAACTATTTTTTCCTTAAAAGTAATTTTTCAAAAGCTTGTGGCTCTAAAAGCACTGACAAATGACCATAAAGAAAAACATGCCCTTAAAGATAGACATGCATTTTTCTTCGGTTATTTTGAACACTTTTCCGATCGGAGGAGGGGGAAAAAGGTATGGAATCTCCCTACAATAGCAGACTTACATGAAATTAAGGAGGGAGGCCTCTAGTCCAACAAAATTGCTACTATAGCTATATTACTATAAAGTTTACATAACTCGTAGGACTCCAAACCATTATCAATAAATGCTTATTTGCAGACATTCACGGCTATCTCTGTTGAAAACTGCCACCTGAGAATCAACCCACATAAAATATCCCAGCAAAACAATACCACCTATAAAATATCCCAGTAAAAGAAGCGTAAAATCTTTTACAAGGCCTACCCAGCATAACAGGATGCAATGGCTATTCAGTATTTGTTGCAGCCACTCCTTGCTTCAATGGCTGCCTACCCTGGAGTTTCTTTGCACTCCAACGGCAACTTGGAAATTACTTCATTACAATTTTGACTTAGTACGAGGATGTCACACTTTTACTTCTCCATCAAGGTGAAGATAATAATATCTCTATTAAGAGTAAAGACACCTGAGGAGGGGGCCATGGTAAAATGTAAACTAGAAAAGCATAAAAAAAGAAGTGAAACTATTTCACACAAATCAGTGGTACCAAAAACAACTACATACATTTAGTTCACTTCATCCCCTCCAAACTAACTAAATATCTATACAAACCAAAGTTGATACTTAAAAATTTCTACACAGATGATAAATTACAACGAAGTCATTTACAGCTCAACAACACTGAGTTTATGACATGCATGAGAAGGCGGATTGTGCTTGCTTCCGAAGGGGAGGTAGTTGGTAAAGTCCGATGATGGCCCAGTGTTCGGTACACTTGATCCAATATTCGTCGCACATGTGCTGCAATCCTCGGATCTGCTGGGTTTATAGCAGCAGCCACATCTGTCATCCATGCTAATTTTCTGGGTGTATCTGTATTGATGCCACAGGACAACTGCTGTAGAAGAGAAAGAAGTACTCCTTGGGTTAATGGCAGCGGCACCATTGACAAAATACCAGCTAAATCAACCTGGTTATGAAGGGGTGTGAAATTAAATGTTAGATATGTTGTCGTTGATGTTATCTTAATATAACCATGCAAACTACAAAATATATACTTTAACCAATATCAATATGTGGAGGTCTGACTTAATAAAGCTTGGAATAATTAGGGTGACTAGAGTGGGTTTATAATATAGAAAAGGGAAGCTCAAGCCGAGACTCTCACTCTCACCTAGTGGAGTCTGGGGAAAACAAATATATGCAGTCTTATCCTCACAAGCAGAGGGACTGATTCCAAGATTTGAACCTACCTTTAGGTCATCAGGCAGTAACCTTAACGTTATGCCAACGCTAACTCTCTTTAAGTTAGACACAAAGTTGGATCCAAATTATAAGAACTGCAATTGAATTTCACATTTAAAATTGCGTACATATTATCCTTAGTAAAAACACTTAGGAATTTACAATTTTACCCTGGGAAAAAAAGTCTGTAAGTAACATTTTCCAGAATAACTCAATATTTGCTCAATTTACAGAATCAGGTTTCCACTATCTATAATTTTTTTTTCTGCAAAACAAAAACTCCCCTTTCACTATCATTTTGTGTTTTGTTTCATTTTGACTAGTTCTTTGTAAGCACAATCCCCAACAAATTGTAATTCTGAATAGTGACTCGAGTCAACACAAGAAAGAAATGACTAACATACCTGAGAACATAACCAAGAAACTAGCGAAACATCACTTCTATGAAGGGCTCCAGTAAATGCTTCTTCAAATTTTCCCTCACTTATCAACCTTGATAATTCTTTGGTAGGATCCTCAGTCTGTCAAAGTGCAAGTAATCTCACAGTATGAATTATCAAGAACACTCGTCAAAAATAGCAAGGGGAGGGCATGACAAACAAACATACCATCTCATGCAAGCCATTGTTGATTTGTGCCACAAATGGATCTGAAGCTACATTGGAGTTAGCTGCGATTGCTAACAGTTTACGTTGGCCATCGGCCAATTGTCCACTCAAAGTTTGAGTGATTGATGATGCTGAATTAATTGTATCCTGTTAAATCATAACACTACATATTGAGTGATCAAACATGATAAATCAGACATTCAAGACATCAAGATTAAGTTAAAGAGAGAAAAGGCAAGTAATATATTCAGCGCACAGTAGTGGTGAGGGGATGGTCCACTATATTATTGAATCTTAGTTCATAAATTAACTTTTCACTCTCAATAAGGAGACCAGTTTCCAGTATCTTGTAGACATGTATGCATATATAAAGTAAATGGACTTCTTTCCTTGTAATGGCTGCTGAGAAATGAAATAGAGCTTAGACTTTGAGAGTTAATTTAAGGGAGGAAAGGGAAGCTTTTATAAACCCTCCAAAATCTTCCATAAACTCATTTTTTAAATTCCTCCAAATTAGAGAGTTTTTGTTAGCCGTCCTCCTCCCTCACATCCCTTCTCTTCTCCTCCATTACCCTTCAAACCCTTTTTCCTTCTCCCTCCAAACTCTCAAACAAAGCCTTCAAGGTTCCAAAATAATAATTTTGTTGGTAAAAAAAAATGTTTATTCGGATAGATCATCTATTCCAAATTACTGCTTTAAATTCTTTTTCACAAAATGAATAGAAATCTTACCAATACATCAATCTAAGAATTATACACTTTTCAAATATCACAAAAACTATCTAAATTGCATTTGAGTAGTGCCACATAACTTATAACAGAAGTGTAACAATATCCTTGCTAACCAAGGAAACAAAAACAATAAAGTCTACAGTGATAGAAAGGCAAACAAACTATCTTATGGCAGGAAAAATAACCTTATAAGGTAAAAGTCATAAATTATAATTTCTGTTATTGAAATAAGCATTTTATGCATACCCTCAAAGTCATGGCCAGTGGAGAATGAGTAGAATCATACTGCTGTTGAATAGCAGTTGCGTGCTTCACAAGTCCATTCTGAAATGCTACATCAATTTGCTCAAACATTGCTTTGCAGGACATCTCAAATGCAGGAATGATTGAGGCTTCCAAACTAGTCCTAAGTGCTTCCTACAAAGTACAAACAACAGCATAAGAAATGATTAACCAAATTCCATACTGTTTTAAAAGTAAACATCAAAACAAATCCAAAGGATGAAGTTAACTTTTTTTATTTTAAATCAAAATATGAAGCTAACGTGAATTGCACTACCATGCAAAATAAGATATTGCAAGAATAATAGATACCTAAAATGAAGAATTTCAGAGACACATAAAAATGCAGACTCTGAGAAACGGGTTTCAAATAATTACATCTTAAGGAAGCATGATTGAACATTACCAAGAAACAAAAAATACATTAAATCTGGGTTAAAACCTATTAAGGATTCAGTAATCTTAAAATAGCTAGTAAACTGAAGCCTCTAGCAAATTATAAAATGCTAGAACCCATAATTTTCAAGTTGTTTGAAGGGACAAACAAAGATGGACAGGTGGTAAACTTGTTATGAACAAAACAGAGCAGCACCAGCAAAGCCAGAGTAGAGAAATGGTCCAGTTGAAGTCATGTTCAATCTAAAATTGCATACAGACATATCTAAGCAACAGCTGGTAGGAATCACCAAGGTTCAGGCAGACTTTGCTTTCAAATATTACATAAGAAATTTATCACATTTGACTACAAGAAAGCAAGGAATACTTCTAAAAAATATAGTTAATGTTGACCATAAGCTGCTTACCTGAAGAGCTTGCTTGCCGGAGGTTTGAAATTGTGCTTGTATCTGCCTAGACACTGTAGCTTCAAGTTTAGAACTAACTGATTTTTCTAGTTGATTCAATGCCTTGTCTCCCACCCCCTTCTGCAAAATTTATAGCATAACTTCAGTGAGACATATTCAAGCAGAAAATGTCAGTTTACCAGTGAGGAAAAAAATGAAGCAGCAATTCACCATATAGGATAGGGGAGGAAAATACAAGTAGATGAAAGATTTATGATATATAACATTTTCGTTTGCCAATTGGCATGACAGCCAATTATTTTTTATAAAGTAGTCTCTGAAAGACTGCAAATTGTCATGTAAATGGTGCCAATCCAAAAAGGGATTTTCCCAACCAAATTTTCAGGGAACTAAGCTAATCTAACCAGTAATACATTTTTACTCTGTTTGACCAGTAGCACTTTCAAATGTTGAAATTAATACAAACCTGGAATGACTCTGTAACACTTGATGATATTGTTTTCTCTATAATTTGGCTAATTGAACGAGTAATGGTTGTTCCAATTGAAGATATTTCCTTCTTAATGATTTTCTCCAATAGAGATGCCATGTCCTTGTTTACATAATTGGAGATCAAATTAGTTATTTGCTGCATACGATCTCGCTCTAACTTCTCTTGCTTTGCATTTTCTTCTTGTAAGCGAGCCCACAAAGCATCACTGTGAGCCTTGACAACTTTCTCCATGTTTCTACCCAAGGATCCTTCTAATCTTTTGCCTTCCTTGGTAACTGGAACAGAAACCATCCCATTCATCTGCTTTTGCATTTCCTTCTGCATGCTTAATAACTGTAAAATAGGAAATGAAAGAGATTAAGAAACAAAAAAAAATAAAAAAAATCTAAAAATAGCTCATTGAGTGACATGAGCACATAAAAGAGGCAAAACCATATCAAAGACATGAAAACATGCCTTCCTAGGAAAGCTATGGTTTCTGTAAGTGTTATTTTGGATGGGTGAAAATAAGAGCGGAATATTTACAAGATCCAGCAGTTCAAAAATAATAGCCACCTCATGCTACTATTATATAATGTAATCATAAAACCATGGTGCAGATAAATACAGTGAATGTATTGCCAACCAATCTTTCAGAATAATCAGAATGCATAAAGCATAGAGAGATATATAAGAACGAAATGGAAGCAACAGATTAGACTCGCTAAATGACATGTATTTTCCATTTTCAAGCTGTTTATGACGCAAAGTATCATTATGCCCAAAAAGATGCTACACATTGAAACTCAACTACATGCCTAATTGCCTAAGAAATATCCATAGAGTGCGACAGAAAAAAAACTTCAGTTCCAAATTATAACATGATAAAGATAGTTAATAAAAATCTGTTTGACGATGAGGTTACAATGGGAGAAAACTATTAATCTAGATAATATTTGGCTATGCTCCACTTGTAGCATGCTCAATCCATATTACACTACACACAACATTACAAACAGAACAACCAAGTCAGATGAAACATCACTAAGAATATTATGTGTAATATTAAAATACATGCAATGCATGCAGAGTGTTCAGTGAAGCCACCAAAATAAAAGTACAGTTCAAATGCAAATTAGTAACCTGGCCCATCATTTCCTGCATAGCAGATAACTGTGGTAAAGCAGCCTCCATGGATGTGCCTCCTGAATTGCCACCTTGATCATTTGATGAATCTGTTGAGTTAAAAGGACTGGGAGAAGAGGAAGATGCACCAGACACTTGAGAATTTTTTCCTTTTTGTCTTTTACCTTTCACAGCAGGTGCTGGAGACTGCACAGCAACAGCCACAGTTTCTGATTCACTGATGCTTGTAGGTACATCCTTACTCGTGTCTTGAGCTTCTTCCTCAACAGAGCTACAACTTTGATCAGGTGCATCAATAGTCTTAGTATTATCAGCCTGACGAACTCCCTCAATATTGTAGGTTTCTCTAGCCATCTGAATGTCCAGATCAGAGGCCTGAGAATAGAATAACTTCTCTTTCCTCTCGGCAACATTGGTGTGTGAGTCTCTCTCTCTTTCATAGTCAGTTTTTTCTTGATTAGAACCTGTCTCACCTACAACTTTAACCTCTACTTCAAAGTTTTCTGCATTGCTATGGGCAGCCACATCTTGAACATTCATACCTTGAGAAGTATGGGAATTGTCAGAAGATAGAGCAGTTTTGGAGAATATCTCGGATGGAGTTACCAAATGGGTTGGGTGTTTAAATGTAGTAGGGGCATTAGAAACCACAGAAACATCATTTTGTACAATTTTATCATCCTTTCGCAAATTGTCACCTGATGCAGGCACATCTGCTATATTATCTTTTTCAGACTCCATTCTCCTTTGTTCTGAAGAATCAAGATTCGCCTGCTCACTGCTGTGATCAGCGGTCATTGAACTAGTCTCTAAATTATTTGATGAATTTTTGAAACCAGATAACTTCTGGGACAATCTTGGACTCAAAGGAAGTGGAGGTGGAGCAGTGTGGATATGTTCAAAACCATTACGAGAAGGTAATTCATTTGGCTTGGTCTCTGTATCTGAAATGGAAGATACAGAAGCCTCAGGCAGACCAGAAATATCTGAAGGCAAGTTTACAGCAGGGCTCACAATTGGAGTACTTTCAGAACTGCTAGGTTGTAGTTGTGCCATATTTCCAGTTTCCAAATTAGTAGATCCATCCAAAGCATCAAAGGCACGAGATAGATTGGAATCTGTTTTCTCAAGTTCAACATTGTCCAGGGGTGGAGGTAAACATTGTGACAAATTGAGTCCATACTGTTGAATAGCTTGTGTTTGGACACAATATATCTGTACAATATGCTCTCCATCAGGTAAACTATCACTAGTTCCGGTAAGACTTAATATAGGCATTGTGACTATGAACTCAGCAATGTAATCCATGCGGGTAGCAGTTGGATTGGGTCCATACTCTATGTGCACAGCATATATTGTATTTTTCTTGGCATTTGCTAGCAGAAACAAACCAGCACGGGGCAATGCTACAACTTGATTAAAGAATGCATCCTCAGGGTTGGCTTCAGAAGAACTTCTTATATCCAAAGTCTGAATACAATTCCATGACTCAGAATCACTAGGCAATAGCCAGCCTTCCTCATTATCGGAGACCCATATCTTCACTTCCTGATTTAGTGGCCCCTGCAGTAAGGAAATATATATATAAAAAATTAGCTGATGAAAAATGCAAGAGATGCCTAGATACCACTTTGAGCAGACATGACTAACAGTCAAGCTGCATAACAAAATGGGAAAGAATGAGAGCATATACCGTTGTGATAAGGACAATGTGATCAGGGCGGTGAGGAGCAGTCAAGAATGTCACAGAATTAACAGGTTTACCATCATGTGGTCTTAAAACAGCAAGTGGTGTTGACTTACGTTCTTCCCATATCTTTACCTGTTGAAAAAAACTAATCATTTAGAAGTGCAAATAAGAAGAAGGATTATAAATGTTTTTCTTCATATTGTCAACTCCAACATGTAATACAATAACATGAACCATTCAGCATCTCCTCCCCCACCCTATCTAAAACAAGGGAATTCAAGACTAAAAATAAACTTTTCATAGATTCCACTGCTGTAAAATTGGATGACAAAATGAAGGAAGCCACAGAACAAGGCAAGGAGAGAGTGTCAAATGCAGACCGTGCCATCAGCTGATGCTGAAGCTAATCGACTCTTCATCCATTGGCACATTGACAATTCAGTCACATTGTTGTCATGCTTGCCAATAAGATGCACCCCATCAATCAACTTATCAACAGAACATTTGAGAGGCTCCTCTGCAGAAAAAGTTTCACCTTTTCCAGCTTTCATAGTGTCAATTTTGAGGATACGATTTCCAATAGCAACCATTAAAATTTCCTGTTAGTCAAATTCCAACTTATAAGCTAAAATTTTAAAGGAGTTAACATCAATTGGAAGATAATAAACTTAAGGACCAAAATTTTTAAGTCTCCATTACTGGTTTGTGGGGATGCCAGCATACTCGTGGATGAACTGACTCACTCTCTCCTAATATTTGAATGGCTAGGATAACTTTTCCAGTGATTTGAGGTTTATCTTCCTCATCAGGGCCCTCATTTATTTTCCATATAAAAATTCTTCCATCAGTGCTAGCACTGTGTATACAAAGCATATTCAAGGGGGAAAGTATTTAATAAACATATTATTTCCAAAAGTAAAGGACAAAGAAGAAACAGAAAAGGGATATTTACCTGGCCAACAGGTGAAGATCCTCAGCAAAGAAAGCCATGTCTGTTACTCTCTACAAAAGAAGTCAATATCCATAAATTGGAGGGGGTATAGATTGGAAATAAAATAAAAGGGGAAAAAATCACATCTCAAATGTGTGTAGCAACAGCAAACTAGTTATAATAGGCAAAACAAGCATTGCATGTACAAGAAAAGTTGCAATTATAAGAATTTGATCAACCATGAAAACAGTTGTCAAGATCACTCATACGGTGGTTAAAGAAAGGAGTTATAAGTTACACTAAAATTTTAGGAGCTTAAAACCAATTAAGTACATAATCCAAACCATTAACAGAAAGAACAGAGAAATAACTCTGACAAACTTTCTGAGATACTAATAAAATAAAGACTCATGCAATCACTATCTTACCTTTCTCACAAGCAACTATCTAACCTTAGCATGAAAAAGTTAAATCAAGAGACTGATTCGTGTGAACCTAAGTCTTAAGCATTTCCTAGGTGCAAATTCCTTGTGAATTTGGGGAAAAGATAAATTTGCATGCCTTTTCTGTCTCATGGCAACAGACAACAACGGCAGTTTGTATGTAAGCAGTGATTAGTGCAAAAGAGTACGTCTTCATCATATGAAACTCAACTTCATATTAACCCTGTCATATTGTCTAAGGCACCAGGGTGCCAAAACACATCAAGCCAATACAATGTTAATGGAAAATGCCAACCACGTACATGCAATGCTTGTTTTGACTAGCGTTATAGGTTGTTAATGGGACTAGTGACTAGCGTTATAGGTTGTTAATGGAAAATGCCAACCAGTACGAATATAACCTACATGTCCAATTGAACTATGAGCTACAGGTCTTTCGACTTTCATTTGGGCCATGGCGGCCAGTGCTCCTAAAATCATAGAAGCAATGCTGCAGAAACAGAAGATTTGTTGCAATGTAGCTCCATAGGAACCATAAATAGAAACACGTGAAATATTAGCAAAAATTGAAATTTTTGGCTCAATAGAAGGGAATGCTGTAACCGGGGTGAGTGAACCCTCATGGATATCAGGTGCCCACCCTCAATCATGGAGCCAATGCATCAATCATTCTAGCACCAAGTATCCATATTTGACTAAGCAAAAAGGTCTTATGCAGAAAAAAAAAAAAAAAGATTCAACTCCTTAACTACTACACTCTAATCATTACAAAAGCATACAAATTAACATGCATTCACGTTCAGACCATAAGTAACTGCAACACAACCCACCTGTGTATGACCTCGAAGCAAATATCTTAATGCAGTATTGATATTAAGGACCCTGATGGCGCCGAGTTTAAGTCCATAGCATATGTAAGATCTATTGACTGCAATTTGGCGGCCAAGGACAAGGCCAGGATCAGAGGCATACTTGGTGATTGGAGTGACTTCAAGCTGAGGCTGCATCTCCCCTGGCATCCTAACATCAATGTCATAAACAACATGCTCTCCCATCAAATGGCGTCCCTTTGGGAGCTTGCTGCTCAGCATCCTTGTTGGTGTGGACTGAGGACTTGCCAGATTCACAGGAGAAGCTGAGGATAGTGTGGGGGGCAACACTGCAGGGTTACTTGGCATTGAAAAATCAGAAACCACAGGTGATGGCGATGATGTTGAAGAAGATGAATACACAACCGATGAATCTTGATTGGAAGGAGGGTTTTGGGTGCCCAACAAGGCCATTAGGCGTGCACCAGATGTGGTATTGGTTGGATTTGGTGATGAAGGAAGGTGAGGTGAGGATGGAGAAGGAGAAGGGGCTTGAAAAATGGGGGATCTTTGTGGAGCATGCATTTGAGGAAGGTGGTGGAGGATAAGAGGGTGTTCTTGTTGTTGTTGATGGTGGTGAAGGGTTGGATAAGGAAGAAAGTGAGGATGATGATAAGGGTATGTGCCAGTGGGTGGAGGGTATGAAGAAGAAGGGGTAGGGTAGGAAGAAGGAGGGGGTGTTGAAGGAGAAGGAGCAGGGAATGATGGAGAAGAGTTCAAATTTGAAGAAGGTAAGGGATTAGGTATAGTGGGTGATGGTGATGATGATGATGTTGTTGTTGCTGCTGCTGTTGTTGCCTTAAAAAGCTTCTGCAAATCAAAATGGGTTGTTTGTGAATGTTGTTGTTGCTGCTGTTGATTTGGATTCCCAGGAGAAGCCATATACTTTGACCAAAAATTTGATTGTGGGAAGGGAAAAAATCCAAACTTGAAATCAAGAAACAATCAGATTGGATCCGGGTTGATGCTGAATTCGAGATCTAAAATTGATTTTGGTGCCTCCTCTTCCACTGCTACTTGGTACTTTGTTCTGTGTTTCCTCGTACCAGTTTAGTAATCCCAGAAAAATTAAAAATAAAATAAAATAAAATGGTCGGTTTAAAACACAAACCTCTTTCTCTCTTCTTCTGTGTTTCTCTTTGCTTGTCCTGGTCTCCTCTCTTCTGCTATGACCAGAATTGGACGAGTGTTAGAGAGAATTCGTGTAAAAAGAAGGTTTAATCAACAATTTACGTTTTTGCATCCTCCAATTTAGCATATCGCTACCAAAGGATCCAAATTTTTGAGCAATGATAATGGCAGGCATCATGGCACTGCAAAGATGGTGGAAAAATAAAATGGGGAATGATAACGAGAGGAATATTATAATAATAATAATAATAATAATAATAATAATAATAATAATAATAATAATAATAAATATTCAATTTATTATATAAATTATATGTAAGATGAATTAATAATCAATAATCAATAATCATATTACATTAATAATTTTTTTCATCGATTTTTAATTTTTATGCACATTTAAGCCTGAAATTATTTTAAACTAGAATTTGGCTTATATCTTGATTCACATTTGCGTAAAACTCAATTTTGTTAAGTGGGTTGTATCTTACGATTATATTAATTTTTTATTTCAATGTGCCATCTCCTAATATTATCCATATTTTATCTTTAAGGATAGAGATGTAGACTCGTTATGTAGTTTTTGTTTTAGTTTATGGTATCGTATTCCCTTTTTGTTCAATTAGCAAATGAAATAATTTAGTTTTATAAGAAAATATAAGTGCTTGCGTTGCACTTGGTGTTAGAAATATCATTTTTTTTAATGTATATCATTTTAATTTAGAAGGTTGCTGATTAAAAATGTCTTATTATGACCTGCAAAAAAAAATCTCATTATGATACGTTTTATCATAATCGTAATCATATAAATTAAACATTATATTTTAACTTTTAGCAAACTCTGTCGTAAAAGACAAAACACTAAATAGAAATTTTATGACTATTTTGTGCCTTTTAATTTTAAATGTGTAGATTCGTTTGTTGATGTCTTGTTCTTTGAAGTTATTCTTTTAGTAATAAAATTTGCATGATTTTTACATCCTCATTAATCTATTAAGGAAGCAAGAAATTGGAGGATCATGGGCATCAAGAAGTTATAAAAAGAAAAACAAACTTTAGAAAATGAAAAATGATTTAAAAAATTATCTTTTTAATTGATATTTATGGTATACTTCAAATGGAGATTCTTCTTCTCCCCTGCTAGTTTCATATAATAATGTAATTTCCAGAAGAAAAAAAAAAGAATGAGGAAATAGGATCAAAACTTAGTTTTCGAAGGTTAATGGCTATATGTTAAGTTTAGAAAATCCCCATGATCTTATATAGAATTAATTGCAGAATAAGTCGTTTATATCATTTTTATTTGTTTTATCATTAGTGAGTCTTTCTTTCTTCTTTTTTCCCACTATCATTTCAAAAAATTAATTTTCGAGAATAATTTTTGAAATTTAATTTTAAAAAATAGCTAATACATTTCATAATTTTATTTCATAAAAAAATAATGTTGATAAGGAAAATGAAAGTAAAAAAAGGTTAATTGATAAAAATAAAAATAAAAAGAGATCATGCTACAATTATCTCTATTCTGAAATTCTTGTATTATATAGTTAGATTGAAATTAAGTCAAAATTGAGAATGTCTGAACCCATTAAATCTGATTATAACATGAGTTCTTTCCTCCTAATCATGGTGTTCAAATTTATGCATCAAACAATGTGATGGCACTTTCACAAGTTCACTGCCTTTGCCGACTTATCATAAGTTGTCTTTGTCATAAAGTTTGATGCACTAAGGTTAGGGGATTTTGCCTTAAGGCATTATGAAAGATGACCCACATTTGTTGCTACCAAGTTTAGATGGATGCATCATTTCATTTTTTCAGGGAAAAGAAAATGATATAAACCTTAAAGGGATGGAACCTTAAACCTCCAATAATAATAATAATAATAATAATAATAATAATAATGTTCTACTCCAACTTATTCAAACTTGAAACAAAATGAAGTATTTACCTTTTTAAAGAAAATGCGACTCTACATAATTATGTTGTTATCGAATTATTTTAATTTAAAAATATATTAAATATAATTTATAATATAAAAGGATGACCCATCAGAACTACCAACTCTAAAATAATTTTAAGAAAAAATAATAAAAAAACGAGTCACATTTTATTTCATTCATTTTTATTGTTATTTTCTAACTTCATCGAGCTATTGAAAGGAAAATGTGTCTAAAATAAATTATTAAATGACAAGAAAATCGGTAAAATAATACAATTAATATCTTTTATTAAAAAATAATTTTAATTATCTGATCATTAATTTCTGTGATATTATTACAATGATTATATATATATATATACAATTTGGATACTCATAAATATATAATCTAATAATAATAAAATATTGAGCAATAAAGTATTAATTATATATAAAGTTTTGTGGACTTAATTAATCTTATAAGAATATTAAAAATTAATATATTTTTAATAAAAATCATTAAATGTCATTTTACTAAATTTGACATCTAACTTGTGATTTTGGAAATTTAATCCTTTTCTGCTGCGTGCTTGTACCTTATTTTGCAACCACTTTTTAAAATAAATTACACCATCTCTTAAAGTATTTATATGTACTAAATTTTAGTCCATTTTAATTTGAAAGAACCATTGAAGAATAGTGAAGTGTCAAGCATTAAATGTCAGTAAAACTAGAAATTATAGAGAAAGAGGAATATGATCGTAAAGACATGTTTATAATATTGAATACCATCAAGAAATTTCTTTACATTAAGATAGATTAAAGTATAAAACAAAAGGTATCTCTCAAAAGACGAAAGTATAATTTTCGAAATTAAAAAGGAAAATAATATAATTAAGCACTTGAAGAATGAAATATAGTTTACTCGTATTTTCTTAACCCTGAACATTATGAGAGTGATTAGAAAAGCTTATGTAGACTTTATTTGAGCTTATAGCTTTTCAGTCAACATACTTGATTATGTTGACAAAAAAAAGCATACTTTGTGATGAAACTTGTGATATTTGCTCTTATGTGATAAGCTTATTGCTTAATAAAATGTTTATCCAAATACATTCTATACCAGAGTCCAACCTCCATATTAAGAGTAAGGGTCTCTTGCCAGTTCATGAATCAATCCATTGGGTGAAGTTGAGTGTAAGAGCTTCTTGACTTGTTGAAAGCAACTACTTGTCACATTTTGCTGAGGTATACGCCACATACAAATAGAAGTTGGGGTGTTAGATTGAAAAAGTCATGAAAATCTGTCCCTTGCGTATATTTTGATTTCAGCATCTAAACGAAAACTGAAGAAGTTACCTAATACCCTCAAAAATATTCTATAAACATCATGCAACATTTCCTCCCCCCTCCCCCCTTCTTTTTCCTGATAGGGACAAAGTCTTACTTGAAAACACATTGAAAACTGGATTAGATTGTCCTCTAATGTCCATTACCACTTAAGGGTGTATTTATCTTGCCACAATAAAAGAAAGAAAAAGACTAAATTACAAACACACAAAAAAAAAAAAAACTGACTCAATGATTGATTAAATAAAAAACTACTAAGATGTAACCAAAAAAAAAAAAAAAAACCTTTATATGATGAAAATATAAATATTTATTACTCTAAATCTGACTCATGCAAAGGATCGTGTGTTTGAATATTAGGTACTTGTAAAACTCTACAACGAGTTCTGCAGAAATTTGTTCAGTACTCCTGGTTTACATACTCCCCTTCTTTATGTAGCAATACTGACTCATGTATGATTAGTTTTTTCCTAATTTATATTTTTCTAAAATTAAAAATAAAGACGAAGTTACCGAATAAAGAAATATAACTGGAGTGAGTACGTACAGCGGAAGTACCAAAAATACTCCAATTCTGCCAATAGTTTATGAAGCTCATCCATTAAATTTTGACTTTTATGGCTAATTGAATGTCAAGAAAGTTTTTCCGGCTTGATATTTTAGCAGAAACTGGACTTGAGTTGTACTTTGACTTTCTCAGTGATGAGGTTAAACAGTAGTGCAGCATAACATCCAAAACAAAACTCTTTCAGTTGGTAAAGTAAAAAACAAGGCCATGTTCGCCAACTAGATCACCAGAATCTATATTATTCTTCTCAGGAAAAATTCTCATTACTCTAGGCATAGGAAGGGGAAAACAAATTATCTCACACCCACAATAAAAGGGTTACTGTTATACGTCGTATTCCAACAAAAGAACAATTCTATTCCAAAGAAATACAAGTATGAAGAAGAATGAAACAACATATCAATTAATTATGCACACAAGTATAGACAAATAATCAGTTTAAGTCAAAGAAACAAAGTCAAGATTAAAAAGAAAACATTATACAATTATCTGACTTTATCAATGGACGTAGAACACATATATCTTCATATCCAAACCCAAAATAAAAAGGAAAAGAAGAAAATACATAAAGAACTACATTGAAGCAAATAGGTTGCAATATGTTCACTTCAACTGCAGCAGCCTCCACCTGAAGCAGAAGGGCCATCCCTACCTCCAGATGGTCCAGGAATTCCACCGTATCCTACTTTTATCCCGTAAGACTGAAACCACACAAAACTTATCAGTGTCTTAACTATTGCTCTGTGAGTCAGGAGTATGGTTTTCATTTTAGTATCATTATCCCCAGAATGCATCTAAAGATTGTAAAAATGCAAGGTAGACTGGAAATAAATATCCCACAGATCCTCTATATTCTAATGTAATACTGTGAAATTTCCAAAAGCAGTGATAAAAGAGATGAGGTAAAGAATGACATGAAGCTGAAAAGAAAGAAACTCACCTCATTTGATACATCAAAAACTCCATCCTGAATCTTTTTGTATATGGTTGCAGCTGTTTTTATGAATGCCTGCAAAGGGATAGGCTATATTAGAACTTCCATATAGACAATTTTCCAAGATATTTAACCTATAAGCTTAGATTTGTTGGAAGTCCAGCTTTTCTTGTGGGAGTTAAGGGGGAGGGTGGGAGATAGATGACAAAAATCCGACGTGATTTTTCACCTCTTCAACATTCTGAGCAGTTTTTGCTGAGGCCTCCATGAAGATCAATCCATGTTCCTTTGCAAACTGCTCACCTTCCTCTGTGCTTACAGCCCGTCTATGAGCAAGATCACACTTGTTGCCAATCAGCATAATTGTCATATTTGCATTTGCATGCTGCCTAGCATCTTCCAACCAGCTAGCCAAGTGATTGAATGTCTCCCTCCTGTTGGTAAGCACAGGTCAACATCATTTCATTGGCTTATTCAAAATAAACACATAATCCTTACATGATACAACCACATAATCATGGATGCATAAAATTTCCACACATATTTTGTAGCCCGATCAAATTGGATAGGCTCAAAACATGTAATTTCTCAACAAATAACAACTCATAAAATGCTGTTTTCTATCAATTCACTTTCAACATATGGGCGTTTGTTAGAAAAGAACATCATATCTGCCCTACAAATTCTAGAAGTAATTCAGCCATATGATTAAGTTTTAAATTTACTTAAATTATGTTTAAAAAATTTGTTTATAGAAATAAAAAGAAATCATTATGATTAAAATGATTTACAGATCACTTTTGAAGTGATGGGATACATGACATATATTGCATATACAGTATGATTAATAAAGAAGATTGATTCCTAAAAGAAATTAATTTCTTTATAAATGAAACTGATTATTTTATTTAGGATTTCAAACACATTGCAGAGGTTCAAATTAGTGGATACCTGGTTATATCATAAACAAGCAGGGCACCTGCAGCTCCTCTGTAGTAAGACCTTGTAATAGATCTGAAGGATTCTTGACCAGCCTGAAATATTACAAGGAAACTCAGTACCTTAAACACAGATCATATAACTCAAACAACAAATGAGGAATATTTTCCATCACCAAAATCTGGAGAATCAATCTAAGCTGACGATGATTACAATGGGTAGTACAAAACTGTGGCTTTATTGTCATTTAAATAATGAATCACGAATGACGCCTACCTTGTGGCAGCTAAATTTCTCTACCCATATCTCCTAAGTCATCAGCATTTGAGAAAAACCATTTAACCTCTCAAAAACCAAAATATTTTCTCATGAATATAGCAACTTTTTTTATCAATAAATTCATGAACAAAGGCTATCATCCCTAATTAATTAGGTTTTCAACAATGGAAATGGATCAGTTCGCTAATAAAATCTACACCACTTTCGACATAATATACTTCAGAAAAAACAGGACAAATATTTATATAGTATTATCACATTCAACCCATAAAACACTTCTGGGCGGCCATACAAGCTAAAGGGTGAAACTGATCCCAATAAAAGGCCCTAATTAAAACTGAAGGCCATGAACAATTATCAACTCCCACAATGAAAAACAGCAAAAAAAGAAAAAAACAAATGTTTCATGTATTTCTAAATATGAACTTATTGAATTTCTAGCAAAGCTGTGTGAGAGAGCTGAACAAACCGTATCCCATATTTGCAACTTGATTGGCTTATTATCAATTGTGATCATCCTGGCACCGAATTCAACACCAATGGTCAAGTCATGAACGGGTTGAAAGCGCTTGTCAGTGAATTGAAGTAGAAGACATGATTTTCCAACTCCTACAGAAACCCACAAAAATAAAAAATAAAAAAAATCAGTCCTCTCTACATGAACTTCTACCACCTCTAAGGCTACCTCCACGGCAAACAGAATACAAATAAAACAAAAAAGGAACAAACCATAACAAACCACCTTTCAATGCTTCTTACTTTTAGTTAAGAAGAAACAAAAGTAACAACAAAGAGTACATTAAAATTGCAAAATTTCATTCCAATACTTTAATTGCAATCACAGTTCTTAACAAGTGTCCACTATAGTTATAGCATGCGAAGCTGTGAAGTGTTTAATATTTACAATTTTATCATTTTTAATATTTAATTAACTAGATAACAACGATATTTTGAGAAAACAAAATTATGACAAGAATTAAAATCCCTCCATAGCAGCATAGACATCCAGAAACAGAACAAACAGAGCCAACATCAAATCTCTTTATCTATCACCTTATGCATCAAATCATTCATTTAAACATTCTCAGAAAACCCAAAAAAAAAAACAAAAGATGAAACACAATGAAATCCGATCGGGAACCAAAGCCACGACAAGGTTTGTATTGTAGAATTCATCCCAAAATCAAGAACAGGGTAATTGAGAGAATTCAGAAAGAAGGCGTGATGAGAGAGGATGAAAATACCGGTGTCACCGATGATGATGTATTTGAAGAGGTAAGCGTAAGACATTCTGGGGTTACGTGAGTTGGTGTAGAGTTGAGATCTTTGGAATTGGTATTGATGAGCAGAGAAGAAAGAGGAAAAAAGAGAAACAATGAGAGAGAAGAGAGAGAGAGAGAGTCAAAATCAAAACAATTAAAAACAGCTCCAGCGATGCGTTTTCTTTTCTTTCTCCAATTCCCACTTTCTCTCTCTACATTCCTTCCTTCTCACATATCACTTTCTTTCTTCTTCCCGAAGGATTAAATTGCAACTATACCATTTCCATACGTATTCAAGGGTAAGCCATAGGCCCATGTGTTGGCCCATCCAGGCCCACTGTATCCACCATTTGTAATTTGTTTTTTGGATAATGTTTTATATCACTTATTAAATATTTTTCATATATATAATTAATCACGTGGGAAGCTATAAATTTAAATTTCAATGAATAAAAGTACTAATATCATAACAGTAGAATAATATCAAAGTATTTAATGAGTTATAAATCATCTTAATATTTTCTTAGTTATTTAACTTTAGTACATCATTAGAAAAAATAAACAGATTGAAATAATAATTTTAAATATATACACACGTAATATTAAAAAAGATAAAAATAAATAATATAATTTTAAATTATTTCATAAACAACTTAACTTCAATTCCTTTAGGGAAGAATTTTTCTAGATTTCAAAATATGTCATGGGAAACAAAATTTCAACTTTGATCACGTCAATCACAATTACATAATCAAATAAAAATTATCAATAGTAGTTATTTTGTATTTTTCATAAATATTATATAATTAATAATGTTGAAATTTTATTGTCAAATTCCTATAAAAAAGACTAGTGAGATATGTTTCTAAAGTTTATTATGCATCTATAACATTGTTAAATGATACAAAACAAAGAAAGAGTAAGTATAAACTATTCATAATAAATTTTATAAGGCAAATACACATATACTAATGGAAATAAAAGTAATGCACAACAAATAATAATAATTACAAGTCTTTCACATCTTTTACTTATGTCTTCATCATAGACTAATTAATTATCCATCAATTAAGTTTTATGATTGAAAATTAAGAATTTCATATCTTAGGTAGTGTCATAAAATATATCATCTCTTATTAAGACCACAATTATAGCGCACAATTCTTATTTCAAAATAATAGTCACTTCTAGCATTTCATATTTTTATTAATCATAGGATGAACGAATGCTAGTGAGGTTAATCTATCATATTTTTCCTACTTACAATACAAGTTAACTAAACCTAGTTCTTATTAGTACTTGGACACTATATTATACCAATTGATAATACTTAATCAATCATTATTTCCTTCATGCTTATACTTAGTATTACTCAACCACTTTATTGTGTAATTAATTCATAATTACATCATCAATCAATAAGAAATTATAATTTATAATTCAATTCATATGATACATATTCAGCTTAAATACAATTCTCTTGCAAAAGAAAAAGATTCATCATTATAGAGTAAGCTATTTTAGATTTTATAGATTTCATCTCTCATTGTAAAATTCATATCTAATTTATTATAAGTTCAAAATTTATGAAATCAATAGAGTTATTTTTTTTAGTGGCCTATTCCCACATAAAAATACAAACATAATTCAAACACATACAACTTGTAGTATGAGTTCCTCTTTTTTATTGTAAATCACAAAACATCAATTTCCAATACTAGTTTAGTAAAAAATTTATATTTAATTCATTTTAACTCTAAATTTAGTAAAACAAATTGGTAATTATTCTTAAATAGTCTACTATCTAAATAAAATATTTCTATAATTTGTTTTACAACAGTATTTATAACTTGAAAAAATTACAGTTTAGTTTCTAAACTTTATTATTTTGTAAAAATGATCCTTTTCATAAAAGTTGGTCAATATCAAACATGTTACACGTTTTTTCTCAAGATTTTAAAGACATTCCAGACCTTAAACGTTATCACAGAGTCATATGATCCTACCAATCATATAGTCAAAACTCATGCATTTTAAAAAATAAAATTAAAAGTCAAAAGCAAGATACTTTATCATTTTAAGGTCCAAATTTTCAGATTTATTCCATTCTCCTTTTATCCAATTGCATATTAATTCTTATGGTTTCTTTCCTAGTTCTCTTAGTCCAATTTATTACACTTTCTTGTCCATTGCTAAGGGTATATGGCATAGTTCTCTTCTCCCAAAACTAATTCTTGACTTTAGCCAAGGTTTTTTATTATGTCTTTGTAAACTTTGATTTACTTGTTTTTTTTCATTGGTCCTTCATCTAGATCAGATAACCTCTTAAATTAATGTACTGTGACTTATTTTTCAAACGAATTTGGCTGTACAATTGGTTATCCTTTGGATTTTTGATTTGTTGCAAAAGTTTCTGACATTTTTTTGGGTACTAATTCATGTTAATTTACAAAGTTTTGAGCTTACATTCACCCATGATCTTGTTGAAAAGGGATCAACATTCAAAAGTTTATTTTGTACAAAATTTTGATTTTGGCCAATTTTGTAACTTGTATTTTAATTCCTGTTTTGTCTTCTCATGCTAAGCATAATTCTTTTATTTCTTGTCTTAGATAAATAAAAATCAACTAATTCAATTGAGAAAAATATTTATCTCTCTTAATTAGACCTCAGCATACTTGCATCTCACAATCTTTCCTTAAGTAAGCTTGGTTTGAGGCCAGTTTTATTATTTGTATATCAAGTTCTAATTTTCTACTTTCTAATTTGATTTAGATGTTCGGATTTATACTTAAATAAGAATGATAAGAATTTGGAGATGTAACATATTAAATGTGAATTCTTCTTTTAAAATAAAAGTATTTTTGGAATTAATAAGTAATATGTTCCTTTATTTTAACATGTATTATGCTTTTAAAATATAAGTAAATATGAAATTTTAAATAACATACTAACAAATGTCTAAATTGAATGAATACGAAGATAATATAATATAATTATTAATTGAATTTATTAATCTTATATTTTATAAAAAGTTATTAAGTAGTATAAGTGTTTAAATTTTTCAACTAACAGCAACAAGTACCTACTCTAAAATAGTTTAAATAAAAATAGTTATTCATCGAACTAATTATTTAAAAAATATTTATTATTTAATATAAGGTTAAAAAGAATAAAATAAAAATATGATAAGTTTTCATCTTATTTAATATTTAATTCACTTTTATAATTTATTACGTACTATTATATTATATGATCTTATATTTTTTAATTAAGATAACATTGAAATAAAATATAAATTATATACAAATAATAAAATTATCATCTTATTGTAATTAAATGTAATTTTTAAATTAAATTTGAATATATTTTTAAAGTTTTTATTATATAATTTAGTTTAGACTATAAAAAATTCTAAAAGCCCTCCTACAAAAGGGTGAAAGAAAGTAATAATAGAAGTAGAGGATGGCAAATAAAGATGACTTACCGTAATAATGAAAAGTGTTAGGCGACTTTGGTGATAAAAGTTATACCATGTTGGATAATAATAATAACAATAATAATAGGTGTTAAGCAATAATAACAGTAAAAAATGCCAAGAGATAGAAAGTTTAAGTGAAAGCAAAAAAAATAAAAATAATGTTCTTTCACTTTATTATTTTTAATTTAATATCAGATAACTTTATACTAAACTAATAAAATAAGATAATAACAAGATAAGTTTATCTTATTATTCTAACAAATATCAGAAACTTCATCCTTTTTGTCTGATGAAAATTACTCTACGATATATATATATATATATATGAGAAACTAAAATAACATACATAACATCCAGACTAAAAGCAAAATTTATAAGATTAAATATACAATTTCGTACTTTAAAATGGTAAACTGTGTTGATTTGGTACAATTTGTATATATACAGCTTAGTCCTCTACCAAATTTGGTTAACTTATTACTGAAAGGACTAATTTAGCCTAAAATTGACAGATTCGGAGACTAAATTAGATACGGACAAATTTTTTAAGATAATATCAACACGTTACTAATTTCAAGGACGAAATTGTATATTTTCACAAATTAGAAGTAAGCAGTCTTTGATCAAAGACATTGCAAATTTTTTAGCTGTATGCAACTCGTAAGAACAAGCGACCTCACAAATTTTAACATTTTAAAGTAAAAAACAAGTTAAACAAATTGATAATCACAAATAAAGCAAAAATTCCTTTGAGGTGAAAAATCAAGAGCTCCTACAATATTGGAGTTGGGCTTCAGGTAGCATGTCTTCTATCTCAATGGATTTGTGTTGAAGGGTGTTTTTTTCCTTTCAAATGAGCACTCCTCCATTCTTTTGATGCAGGCTTAGTATGCACAGACATCATGTTAGCAGAGATATAGCACACCTATGCATTCCTAGTCTTCAGTCATTTTGGCTTTTACTTTTAGACCCTCAGTGTTGCTGTTTGATAATTTCATAATAAAATCTACCCTTTGGAGATTGATTTTTCCAAGCATCATTTATTAATGTCATCAAAGGGGTTGTGCCTTGTCATGAAAAATAAGACCTTAGTAGCAGATGGTCATGTCCCATGAATTGGTTTTAGCTGGAATTGTTATTCCAAAAAAATTATCTTCCTCTCTAAATAGGAACTCTAAATCTTCAGAATTTATAGAGCAAGACTTTGGCTTTATGTTGGAGTAAGCTCCAAACTCACCTCCTCCTCTCCCCCTTATGTGTATTTTAGATCCAGAAGAACCACTGGCGTCAACTGTTTCAACAGCTCCACCAGAGTTATACATATTTGTTAGCCCTATTGGTGCAAACTGGATTACTTGATTATAAACCTGTGGCTATCATGTAAAAAGGTTCAGTTTTGGTAGATTTTAAGCAGAATGAATGATGTAGATCCTACCTTTATAGGAGATACAGTGAACACGTCACAATGCAAAACTTTTAATGTGATATCAAATGATTCTTCTTTTGATAGTCGTGTCAGAGACCCTGAAATTGTAAATCAAAATATGTAGTCCATTAATCAGTATGCTAAATGATTAAAATGGAACAGAGTTGTCAGTGATTCTGTCCTAAAATTGCAAAAAGAAGCCACTTCTATGCTCACATTGGGAACTGTCAAAAAACAATATGAACCATACCTTTGCTGAAGCGAAAAACTGCGCAATCTTGAGTGCATTGTCCTGTGGAAACCTCTTCAAAATACTCAATATCTGAGGGAGATACCTTGCCTGATAACTCAAAAAT